CTCAGGTTCTTCTAAAAAACTATAAACAGCATTAAGAGTGTTGATTTTTTCAAGATCTTAGTATCATCAATGAAATTAGGAATATTGCATTTACAGAATTTGATAAGTATTTGGGGGTAAGTATTAATCAACAAAGGTGGTAAAAGTGATCATTGATATGTCCCAGTTGTCAAATTATATTAGTTATAATGATGCCTGTTTATCATCACTCCTTTCTACCACCATGCCAATTTTCTGTCTAGTTTCTTAGCAGTCTTTTCTGTGGCATCTTATGAAAAGCTTTCTTAAAATGAAAATACACAATGTCAATAATAAAAATAGCAGACTTTCTGTTGAAGTTTATTTGTCAAGAAAATTCCTTTCTGGTATTTGTGATAGTTATGTTTACTTTCTGCTTATTTCGGTAAAGTTCAGCATTCTATATTCATACCATTGATCTCTTTGATGAATTCCTCACACAGACCCACAATACCTATCTCAATTATATAACTATACATTTATGTAAAAGTTTTGTGCAATTAGCACATCTAACTGCAGTCTTTCTCATGGGTGCATATGGTGCAACAAACAAAATGTTACATTTTAACTGCTATATTGATGTGATGTGTTCTGTATTAAATTTATGTTGAAAAAAGTGAGAATTTATTGAATCTTTTTTTTTCTGTTGAGATGTAAAATGAAAACTGACAAAAGTCTGGTATAATGCAAGCTGACTGATGAGTTCTTAAATAGTTAACTTTTGGAAGTACCTGTTTTTTAATAATTATATTAACTGTAATGAGACAGTGAAGGTATTTAACATCAACCCCTATTTCTGTAAATCTATACATAGCGGTGCTTACTATACGTACAAATTTACTAAGTGTGTCCTCGTGAAATTTATCAAGGTTTTTACTTTTAGTTAACATTACAAGTCTATTGTATACAAAAAGCTTATTTGTTATAAAGTATTTTTACTAAAAAATTTTCACTTCATTTCTGGAATCAGTCTGACTGTTCTGATATCAAGGTGATTTTCATTGCTAAAAATAACGATACTTCTTTCCATCTTACAGTTTTGTATTTAATTTACATAACCTCTAGAACGACCTAAATGAATATCAAGTTTTTAAAGGTAAAGTTTATATTTTATCTGTTATTTTCTCTACCTAATACTAAATGTAGGCAAATCATCAATGTACGGTGAAAATGAAATTTTGAAAAGTATTATATCAGATGAACTTATATTTTCCTTCTTTCAATAATTAATATGTTTTCAAAATAGTATTTTTCATTATTCTCAATTTTTTTTTCACATGTAGTTTTTTTTTTGGTTTTATTGCCTGGCTTTTGCAATATTCAGTTTTTGTTTTTCATGTCTGAAGAGCGACATCACATTGCGTAAGTGTGCATGCACCTTTGTACTCAGGCACTTGTAGTTACCTAAGTCTTAATCTTTTTTTCTGTAAATCTTTGGTGACATGAAAATTAATTTACCTTTCCAAGATGCATTTTAAAACATAAATTACTATAAGAATGTTCAAAAACAAAGATAATTTAACTGTCCTTCTAATTAAGATATAACTAGTTTATAAAAAAAATATTAAATGCTATGAGTACCAACTTACAGAATCAGGATGTTTTGTTGTTGTATACTATTGGAATCTTGTAATGAAAATAAGCCCTCTAACTGTTATAAACAAGTGTGCTAAATAAGATTGTTTTGAAAACACTCTTGAAAGTTAGACAAATATGCAGGGCTTCTGTGGTGGATTGAAAAAATACACATAAAATAGAGATATCAAGTTAAAAATGTAACTTTGGACTTTAGAATTGTATAAATATTGTATATAAAATAAGTGAACATGCTGAGATGTTGGAGTTCAACTAAAAGGTGAAGGTTGAGAAATTTTGAACATGTTCTTTTGAAATTAAGAAATTAAATCTTCATAAAACTTGAATCATGAACTACATTGTGTTGACATACATTAATAATGTGGTTATTAAATGTTGAAAGTAACTACAAAATGTTATGACATGCACAGAAGAGCTGAGCTGTCTGATTAGGGTTAAGGTGCAAACTCTCTTTTCAATTTATAATTCAATAAATAAATCTGTGCAAGATCTTTTTCTGCCAGGATATATTTTTAATTTATGGTAAACCTTAGAAGTAGTTGTTCAACATAAGAAATAACTGTTGAACACGGAAAATAATTGTTTAACATAAGAAGTAACTTTCAAACATTGGAAGTAATTGTTAAACACAGGTTTTATGTGGGTTGCAATAATAAAGCATATCTTCTAAATCTGAGGATATTCACTAAGGTTATTCAGATTTTCCTGAATCAGATGTATATTATAATCAGTTAACAGTCTAGCCAGTCATCAGAATTCAGACAGAACATATGAGATACATAATACTTGCACAAAGAATGAACAAAGCCTTAAGACAGACTCCAGGAAAAAAAAACTGGTTAAAATTCACCAGTGTTTTGGCAGTTTGAAGTAGTTATATATCTAGTTCTGTAATATTTTTTTCTAAAGTGAACTTTTTTAAAACTAATGTAAAATGTATCCTACAAAGTTGCAAGTATTATGGAGTTTATAGATACCTTGATAATGTCAAAACCATAATAATATGATTTACTGGGCAAGTGTGGGCTGTTTATTTGTAAAATTATATTTTGCTAAACCTTGAACCATAAGCTTTAATTTTACAGGATAATGTACAAAATATTTATTTTATAAATAATATTCATTATAGTAATTTATTCTTAGAATAACTTGCATAATAAGAACAAGAATTTAATTGAGTTTGTAAAAGTAATTATAATATACTTAGATGTTTTCAGTTTATGTACAAATTGTAGATGATTTCTTTGTATTTAACTACTGTTTGGGGAAAGGTTGTACCAATTTACTTAATAATATATATATATATGTTTTTATAGTGGGGAAAACATCCTTGATTACCAGATTTATGTACGACAGTTTTGACAATACTTATCAGGTGAGTTGGAGTTTTTATTCAAGTTGACAAATCTACTACTGACTCAACTAAAGAAATAAAGAATTTCCAATATTATACAAATTAAGTATTGAAATCATGTGACTTGCTACTTGAGTGTTATTTAGGAAACCTTACATCTAGTGTAGCATCTCAGTGTTCATGGTGGAACTTTTGCTTTAGGATGATTTACATATTCAGACCTTTTGTGAAGTATTGTATGTGTCTTGTAAGTTTTTGATTTAAAAGTGGGTGTGTACTTTTAATAGGCTCGAAACAGCAATCATATTTGATCATGGTTGACATTTATTTTGTGAAGCAAATAGTACATGTCATAAATAGCATCCAAGTTGTTTTGGGCTTGATACACAACTTTCAGAGAAATAAGAACTTGTTAAAGTATTTGAGATATACATCTAAGTAAAGTGTATTAACGTGCTTGTTATAAGTTAAAACAATTGAAAAAAAACAATTTTTTTTACATGGCTTACTTTCTTTACTTTGATTTTTTCTTTAAGACCTTATAAACATTTTACACTTGAGTAGTTTGACTGTTTCTTTTTTTTTTTACTTTGTGTAACATTGTCTTTATAATTTATTTCAAATAGAATGTTGTTCTTGTTTCTAGCATGAGTAGTTTGACTGTTTCTTTTTTTTTTTACTTTGTGTAACATTGTCTTTATAATTTATTTCAAATAGAATGTTGTTCTTGTTTCTAGCAACTTATAGCTCAATATTACAATGTCTGTCATTTGAACAGTAAGTGGGTGTGAAATTTTTACTTGTTAATGTGATTTTCTACAAATAACTGTTTTTGAAATATTATTGTTCGATGTTAAACTTGAAAAGGAAAAAAGAAGATGGTGAACGTTTTTTTTTATCAATGAATTACAATAGTACTTTCATTGTTAATTTTTATTATATATAAAAATTGTTAAACTGTATTCAAATGGTATGTATAATTAAATACAAGAAAAATCGTGATATTCAGAATTAACATATACTGATAGGTTACATAATGGATACAAAGTTTTGTTTTTAGCCGAAATGAAGGTTCAGGTTACTACAAGGGAATGAAAAAAAATAAAAATGCAGTTTTGTCAATTCAACATAATTCAAATGTGATGTCACTCTAAAACCAATAAGAAAAGATTATTCAATTGCGTCAGATTAGCAGATTATTTAAAATAACTTTATATTGGAAATATTGTTAACATATATTTTATGTTTGGTTATAATAAAAATAACAGTTAATGAATAAGTATACTTTGTAATTTAATGTCTGTGTAAGGTGCCTATTTTATATTTGTGTTGAAAGAAAATGATTAACTCTGCTATTGATTGATTTTATTCAGAAAGTGAATGTATCTTTGTTAATATATTCTAAATATTGTTTTCAGGCAACAATAGGAATAGATTTTCTTTCCAAAACAATGTATTTAGAGGATCGAACGGTAGGTGTACTGTACTTTTTTATTGTACAAAATGTTTGTAAGTTTTCATTCTATGGGGTCATTATTTATTTTGTGAGTGTCGTTTTTTGATTTATTTCAAATTGATTTTAACTTTTAATGTTATATATTCCTCATTTGATTTTGTTTACTTATAACCCCAAGTTTCATTTAACTTTTAGAGAACTTGGACTTTTTAAGCTAGAACTTAAAACATAGCCTGTTGAAATTACGGTTTTAAATCCTTCTGGGCTTCTGATTTCAAGTGTTCAGTGCATGATTGATGTTGTAGTTTCTTGAGTTTTTTCTTTATAATAAACCCAGTTTTTGTCCGTGATAGTTCTCAGAGTTGGTTTATTTTCTATGACAGCTCTTTTATAACTAGTCCTGCCCTTCTTTCCACCTAGTAGGCTCAGGAGAGAATGTGGTTGTATAAAAACTGTAAGGTAGACATCAAGGATAGATAATTCTATATCACAGTAGAGGATTCTTCTAGAGATTCTGTCAACAGAGGTCATGATAAAAAATGTAATATTGTCAAACAGGTTGAAATTAATATTAAAATTATAGATTTCAAATGGAAGACATTAAATATGGACTGAAGCAGAAAGAGGGATGTGAAAAGTTTAATTCTTTGTGTGAGAAAGAAATATTGCTTGGAGTAGAGATAAATATCTATGAATTATGTCTTACTACTACTATATTAATTTTGTTTTTTGCAAAGTACAGTATAACTGTAAAGTTGTAATTTTTTCCTAATAAAAGTGTATTATACATAAATTTAGATAAAACACTCCAGTATTTAATGACTGTATCTAAAATTACCCCCTTTTTGTGATCAGAATAACTAGTATATATTTTGAACACGAGTATCTTTACTAATGTGAAAAACTAATTCATTTTATGTCTGTGTTAAATAGGTAAGACTTCAACTGTGGGACACAGCTGGTCAAGAAAGATTTCGAAGTCTCATTCCTAGTTATATTAGGGACTCTACTGTTGCTGTTGTTGTGTACGACATCACAAGTAAGTATTTGTATGTACTACAAACCTATTTGTTTGACAGAAACATTTTAAACTGACATAAAAGGAAACTTTAGAAAATATGACATCTACTGATACTTTATCTCAGTAGATAATAAATGCTATAATGGCTTAGGCTAGCTCATTCTTATTTTGATTGTATAAGATTTTTTCCAGTTCATGCCAGTATTGCAAATATTAAAAACTAGCATTTGAGACTTCCTAAGGAAATGACAATTAAGATATAAAAAAAAGCTTACATTTAGTTTTAAAGTTAAAGTCAAAAGATCAAATTGTTGTAGTAGTGCTCAACCTTACTATTTTCAGAAATTATGAATGCCAAAAATTGATTTTTTTTGTGTCCTTAGTACCAAAAATTTAATCCATTTTGCTTCCATTGCATTTTTTAAAATTTGGAAATATCTTACCTTATTAAATGTTTTCACTTTACATGCATTTTATGTAGTTTTACAAAAAAGCAAAGTGCAGATCTGTAGTAATTCTATTAAAGTCAGTAATGAAAAATCTCTTCATTCTTTTTTGTTGTATTAAAAATAGCTTAACTGACATGACATATATGAATGTGCACATAGAGATAAAGCCAAATACATGATCAAAGTATCGGTCAATATTTTCATATCTGTTATATTTTAGACTTTTATTACATTGTAAATGATTTATCAGAAATAGAGAATTTTGTTGATTATGTATAGATGCTAACTCCTTTCACCAAACTTCCAAGTGGATTGATGATGTCAGAACAGAACGTGGAAATGATGTAATCATCATGTTGGTTGGAAATAAGACAGATTTGGCTGATAAAAGGTGAATGTGAAACTAGGTCTTCAGTGATATCTTTTTTTTTTAACTCGTAGAATTTTTTATTTATTTGTCCTGAATGAAACTACGCTGTACCTCATTTTGGAAAGCAGTATAAAATAGTAATTTCGTTTAAAATCATACTAATGATTTCATAAAGCTTCTAAAGGCTTCCATGTATCTCTTCTAATGATTCCATTATGTAAAAGCCTGAATTGTAATTTTACAAAGTAGTTTTGGTCAGCATAATTGTATATTCAGAGACATTTTGAAAATCATTCATTACTGTTATCTTTAGTTGTAATTTTTCGTATTTGAATTTACAAGCTTAAACATAAGTTAGAAGAATTATTTATAAGAATTTCTGTTATGATGGAAAAAAAGAAATAAACTTTCGTTATTTAAACTACTGAAATTCAGAAGTTTATTTTAAAAGTCTCAAATTTTTGCACTAAGCATCAAGCTTTGTTTTGAAAACTAGTCACCATGAACAGCCGAGATTTATATCAAAAGTATTGATTTAAATGTGGAATAAAAAAACACTTAAAAGAAAGCACATGTTGTATTTTGCCACAGTTAAAGAATTGCTTATATACAGATAACAAATTAAGTTTGAATAGAAATCTATTATATAAACATTAGTTTCTGCTGTACTGTCCTGCTACCTGACTATAATTAATAATGGCTGATATATCTGTCAACAGCAGTCATATTTCAAAGTAATAACTTGAGCATAAATTTTATCTTAAAATGTTAAAATTCTAACAAAGCTTCTTCATAAACAACATTTGCAGTTTGCTTTTAATCTACCAACAAATAAAGATTATGAGGTGATCTCTACCTTTGACACCCCACATCTCATTGGCCGTGATATTTTGACCTTGAATCCCTTTAGAATATTCAACATTGTCTAAAGGGTCAACCTGCCAAGATTGTTTGAAATTGACTCAGTAGGCTGGGGATGATTAACCAACAGGCTTTACGAAATAGAAATAGGGTTAAATTCAACTTTGACCTCCTTAGAACATTCCCCATAGTTCATTGTGTTTGCATACAAAACTTGGTTGAGATTGGCCCAATAAGCTCGGTGGAGTTAGGGTGCAAACATACACATATTTCCTGTATATATGAATGTGTAGCAGTAATTTATCTTTTGAACTTTCAAAGCCATTAGTTGCTTTCATTAGCTAATAGATTGGTAGGGAGTATTATATAAAGTTTTATATATATACTGGCATCATGCTTTTTATAAAGCAATTATTCAGTGATAGTACATGAAACAACTGGTTTTTGTGAGCTATATTTTATTTTTAATGGTATTTATATTACTTATCATTTTTATGTTATGACAGTTATTTTGCATTGTTAGCTTAGTTTAATTATTTAGGACTAACCTAAATATCTTCTAAACTGGCTGGACATCATGAAATATTCTTGGGGTTATGGATAAAGATATCACTATCAAAAAAGGTACCCAACTAACAAGTCATTGCATTTTGATCATTATAAGTAAGCACTGTATATTAAATTAGCTGTATTAATTAGTGGTTTCTGTTCTATTTAGATACCTTGATTTGATAAGAATTGTAACAAATTTTTAACTGTATGTCACGACAGATGATAGTGAGCAAGATGCCAAAGAACCCAATGAGATTATAGAAATATATTCCAATTAACCTAAAGATTTATACATTGATTTTTGTTTAAGTATATATATAAAAGATGGAAAGAAAAATTTCTCTTCTTAAAATTTAATTATTTTCTTTTTCTTTTTTTTTGAGATTTCATCAGAAGATTATAAAAGATTAAGAAACTTTGAAACTAAAAGATAACCTCCTTCTATCCAAAGATTCATATTTTTTTTATGAAAGTGTCAGTTGACATATCAATGCTGAATTATTGAAATATTCTTTTGTCTACATTTTTTATTTATTTTCTAGACAAGTGACAACAGAAGAGGGTGAAATAAAGGCCAAGGATCTTAATGTAATGTTTATTGAAACCAGTGCTAAGTCAGGATATAATGTCAAACAGGTAATAATTGTTTGGGGTTAAACATTTATCACTCAAGCTTAACATATTAAGTTGATATTTTTGCAAATTGATAAGACCATAATATTAAATTTATTTATTAGTAACCTTAATAGATTAATAGAGCAAAGAATAGAAAGGGTAGTTAATTTACAAAGTTTTTAGTTGTTCAAATAGTTTCACGATGGTATAAATATTCTGAAATATATATCACTTTATTTAATATTTTCAAAAAAACATAAATTTAAGCTACATTAGTATTATGTTGTGAAACAGATGTTAAAATTAGATTTTAATATATATTATACTTGATAAGAATAAAGATTTATTTCTCGTGTTTCTGCATTATCACTCAACGAGATTTTCAAGCTTGAGGCAAATAACCTGATTTGTTCTTCTCTACTGTTTCACTTTTTCATATGATAATACATGTATCTACTTATTTTTACATGTGAAACTAAAGATTTAATAATAACATGTTTGATCATAAATGTCTGAAGCAGCTTATAAAGATTTGAAATGTTTTAAGTATATCGTATATGTGTATTTTTCACATTTAATGAATAATATAAACTCTAATACCACTATGGTTACAGCAGAACCAGAATTAAGCAATTTAGCACCCAGGGTAGGCTTGTGCCACCTTTGTGAGTGCCAAGACAAGCCATTTTGGTTATTTTGCTGCCCCTCACAGTTTGTTTCAGGGGCACATATCCTACCATAGTTATATTTTTGAATTACACTAGATAAAATAAGTAGATATAGTAAATAGATTTAACTAAACTAGTTGTCTTCTTGAAAAACTATTGTTTTTCAGATTCTAAAATAACAGGAAAATTAAATATATTTACACCATTACACCAAGCAAAATGTGTTTATGAATATTTCATTTTGCTTAATTTTTGAGTTTTTACCATAATTGTACGGTGGTATGGTACATTGAGCAATTTTACTCTTTTTTTTATGTTATAACATTAGATTTATTTTACTCTTTTTTATGTTATAACATTGGATTTATTTTTCGGTATATGAAAAATATTAGCTGTTGATATCCAAGTGTTAAGTTGGGTTATGATGTTCATAAAGAATGTTTAAAACACTTATGCATTAAATTATTAATACTCTACTAACCCTATCACAACTGGTAAGCAACTTTTAGATACTGAATGCACACCTGCATTTAAGTAAAATGAGAATTCTAACTAATTCAACAAGTTTTAATTAAAAATTTTATAAAAGGAATTTTAACTGTCATCTATGTGCAGCTATGAGGATTCTTGCCAGTAAACTCATTTAATGATTTTTTTTAGAATTTTTATGTCTATACATAAGTATATGCTAACATTTGCTTTGAAACTATCACTCTTTTAGAATGTAATTGTTCACGTTTCTTTCTCCTGTGACTTTCCTTCCACATTAGTGGTTTTATTGCTACGATTCTTCCTTACCACCCATTTATGATGCAACAGCACGTGGTCTGAACAATTACTAATGAAATTCATCTTTGAAAAGATCTATAGACAACATTTAAATATGATGGATAGATAGAGTAGTTTATACACTATGTAAATAAAGTGCTTTGATTAATAAGTATTAATCAAGTTGTAATTGACTGAAGATATAAAATGGAACTTTCTGATCAACAATAAAAAAAAATTGAAATTCTAAGAGAAAAGGACAATTTTATTTTTCCAAACAGTATCTCACAACACAAAGAATGATAAAGAACTAAATTAAATTAAAAGCTAGTTATTACTTAGTAACTTTCTACTAAGTTTCATACAATTTGGTTAAGTATTTCCACAGTAAGAAGGAAAGAAAATCAAGGGATATTAGTGACACCCCTCCAGTCTGGAAAACTTGATCATATAAATAAGCAATTGATGATGACAAAACTTTGTCGAAACGTTGTACATTTGCTGTTATATTAAAGTTTTTCGTCATTACCCATTCAAGCCGTCTCCAGCCATTAAAAGAGCAATTGTTACTATAAATATTGTTAGAGCTTTAATCAGTGACAAACACCATTTGCTATCAGCAGCAAGAGTTCATCAAACTAGAAGTGTAAAAGACTTTTACACCAATGTAGCATGTAATATACTGTGACATCAGTCTAACAAAGGAACATCATTTGTACACGAACCTAGCAATGTAGCATACTCTCACTCTTCTACTTAGCATTATTTCATACTCTGAAACCAGCCTATCGGTGTATAAAGTAAATACTACTTACCATCATGTATACACAAGGTTTGTGAGTATTATTGTGTATGTTATAAATTTTGATTTGATAGAATCTAAATGAAATGTTTTATGATCTTTTCTACACTTACAACTTTGCTTTATGTATTATTTTAAGGTAAAGTATTTTGTTTTACAACTTTCTGAAGTTATAAGAAATGAAATAAATAGTACAGTTTCTAAACAGGAAGATATAAAAACACCTTAAGTAGCTATGGTGGTATGTATGCTCCTATGTGACTTAATGCCAAACTTATGGTCATCTTAAGTTTAAAACACTACTTTCATGTACTGTTAAAATAAAAATTTCTGTAATAGCATATGATTACATTTTGATTAGAGGAAACAAGCCACTGTTACTGTGATTGATATTTTAATATTATCAGCAAATTTTTATGATGTTAAACAGTTAGTTTTAGTTGGATGTTGTCACTTTTCTTGCTATAATTGAATATTGTAGATAATATAATACTTGAAAAGTTATGGTAAAGCAGTTTGTGTGGTTATAAGTAGTGTTACTCTGATGTGTTAAGTGAATATTTGTAATCGAATATAGTTATTTTTTAAAGTATTTTAAGAATACAGTGTTACTATAATAATTAGGTTTAACTATAACTTGTTTTATAGTTATTCAGGCGAGTTGCTGCAGCTTTGCCTGGAATGGAGAACACAGAAAGAACAAAAGAAGACAGTATCCTTTTTTTTTTGGTCTTTGATATTGTTTTATAGAATGATAACAATTTTTTATCATTTCAAAACAGCTGTATCTTGGAGTTAGGTAAATATACGAACAACTAACAATAGATGAAAGCTTCAGTCTTTTTTTTTTCGTCAACATTTCTTCAATCTTGTTACATCTGTGGTTGACCTTGGATTAGAAAGTTTAGACAGATTATCTTCCTGCGTGTAATCCAGGTAAGCATTAGAAATTTGATTAATTTACCAAAACATTATAGTTCACTTCTGTAGTAATAGTGTAAATTAGTATTTATGTTGTCACCTCAATCTCCTCGAGTTATTTCATGTCCAAATGCATGTGCTTGCCTTTTTTTTGTATGAAGTTGTTTAAAGGATGATAACTGATATTTCAGAATGCTAGCTGCATGAATATTTTTTCAGTTTCATTTGTGTCATCACTTTATCCTCTTCCCAGTGTATCTTGCATGTCGCTAGCTTCCTTGACCTCTTTCTCAGTTGTTGATGTTGATCTCAAAGACTCTCCAGTTGAACTACAGAAGCAAGAGGGTGGGTGTTGGTGCTAGGACTCTCCAGAACCTGAGGGTGGGTTCTAGTGCTGTAGTCTCCATCACGATAGAGGGAATTCTGGCAATAGGATAACACTAAAACTATCCGAGATGAGGTAGCTTCTATTGCTAGAACTATCCAAAATAGGATGGACTCTGGTTATAGGACTACATGGAATGTGAGGACAAATAAGAGCTTATAAATCACCCAAAATCTCTGTGTGAATGGGTTACTCTGAAAGACTTAAGGCAGCATGTTGGCAGATTCCTCACTTGGTGTTGGAGTTTCATTGTTTTAGTAGAAAAGTTAAATTAAGTAGCATAGGGAATTTCTTTGTTTAGCTATATGTGCATTGTGCATGTACCTGGGAGGTGTTATTTCACAGCATCTTCTGCCCATGTTTAATATTGCATAACTTGATTCATTCAGAAAGTTGAGATTTAGCTGGGTTACACAGCTACTTATTAAACTTTGTATCCGGCACATATTCAACAGTTTCAGATTTATCTAACTTAATGACCTACTTAACTTCTGTATTCAGAACATATCCCCATAATATAGTGCGTTTAACAGAAACTTGGTATGTTCTTTAATCTTCCAAAAATTGTGAAATAATGTTGTTGTTTTTTATTATCAAACTGTGTAAATTCTATTGCTTTACATACATGTTGTTACAAAAGGATTTTGAAAGGACTCTCACCAAGCCCAGTATGTTTTTTGTGAGATAGCAAGTAAATGTCACAATTTAGGTAGCTCAAAATGGAAGCAGTGGGAAAATGAAAAGATTTAAAAAAAGAAATTGGAAGGTGGTATAAATAGAAGAATATTATTCCATTTTTGAACTTTGTGCTGTACCTTAACCTGGGTTAAATGAACACTGTTGATTTCTAAACATTAAAAATAGGTTGTTTTGATCAAATGCAGCTATATTTTGTTTATGTAAGTAGTAGCCTGTAAATGAAATCAATAACTGATTGCCAGGTTGTGAGAGTCATGATAGTTTGTCAATAAATTATAAACAAATCAGAGAACATAAAAGTAATCCAGAACAAAAAAAACATTGACTTTTTTTATTTACTTTGTTCACAGACTAAAAATGAAAACCTTCCTGTGTTTATGTTCATTGTATAATTTTTTATATTCTTGTTACAGTTTAATTTTACTTATGTCTATTTCCATGAATTGCTCATATTTTATTGATAACTGTAATAAGTGCTATATCTCCACACTTAGGTTGTTACTTTAACTATTCCTTTAGAAAAAAAACAAAAAACAACCCTTTCACAAATTTTCCTGATCTTCCAAATAAAAATATATTCAACGTAAGAAATAATATACGATTTTGAATTTTAATTGTTTCAAATTATAATTTATGGATTTTAATCATGGCATCATTAGATGGTTAAGTTACGTTGTTAAAGTAAGTTAAACTAACGTAAGTAATTGTAAATTTGGGTAATGTCTTGTATACTATGGGGTTCACGAAAGAAAAATTGTAGTTCAGAAATTATCAATACAGGTTGGACACGCTGTCTTTTTTGAAAAAAATCATTTGTGGATTAACAACTTTCAGATCTCAAAACAGTGTAAGCTTTTAAAATATGTCGGGTAAATTTTAAACTATTTAATTATTTTCCACCTGATGCAAAAACAGACTATCCAATAAGTTTATACCACTGTTTGCCTAGAGTTGTGCCATCAGTTCTGTATTGGACAGTGAGGTGTTTTGTATTTATCAAAGAAGTGGATCTTGTATTTCTACTGATATTAGCAGTTTTGTGTTAGGTTATTTCAAAGATTGTTATAAAATTTAAACTGCTGAGAACATGTTCAAAATAAACTGAACTTTGCACATCCTGGTCACTGTGTAACTGTACATTTGTTGAGAGATTTCTACGTAGTTGTGAACACATATTTTTAACAAGTTTGTAGACCTATGAGCTGAGTATGGAATTTTTAATAGGGATTTTGAAAAAAATGTTTCTTGTGGCTGTTTCCTGTAAATGTGGCCCTCACAGGGAATATCTAATATACAAAAGGTGTAATAAATTGAACAAATAGTTATTTTATTAGTCATAGACATTTAGTATTTAAGAACCACAACAAAGGTTGAGGGCAGGGGTACCCTTGGGTAGTGAGGCCCTGTGCGAGTTTAAGAGTTTAAGGGCTGAAAGTAGCACTATGAATGTGCAGTTTTTTGGTAATGACTCATCTTCCAATATCCTGTTCCTTTTATAAACTGGATAAAGTAAATTTAAGTAAAAGAAAAAAGCATCAAAGTAAAATACCTCCAGAATGTAATGCAGTAATGTTTAATTCAGTATATCTTTATAGAGCTTTACACACAAGCCTGGTGAAATTTATGATAAATTGACAATAACAAATACTGATTACGTGGTTTTTCCTGACAGAATAACTGAAGTGCTGTTTCATGTGTGAATGGCACCTTGTGAAAAAGTTAAAGGCTAGGTAAACATTTGAAACATGCTTTTTCTCATGACTACTTAAGGATTGGAAAGAAAACTAAATTAATGCATCTAAAAGTCCATTGAAATGTAAAATATGTCAGATATGACAGTTCATTACGCATGTAAAGGAATACAGAGTATTGGAATAAACTTATTTTTTATTGTGAGTGTAAAAGAGATCAGCAGAACACCATTCAAGATTGAAAGTGGTTTTGTCCTCTTTCTTGCTTTATGGTTGTTTTCCATATACTTTTTTTAACACATCACTGTCTAAGAAGTTTGCCAATATATTTCACTTTACTTTTCACGCATGAAGATATGTCTGTCAAATTAGGATTTCTGTTGCATGCTTGAAGCCACGTAGTTCAGGGACTGAGATGACATTTATAAGATTAGAGGCTCAAAAACTGTCTATAGAGTTTTGCTAGTATAGTGTTAAACTTAACTCTTTATACAAGAGTGGTGGTAATTATAATCAATAGTATGGAGTAAATAAGGCAAGTGGCCAAACATGAGAAAATAAAATATAAAATTAAAAATTCCTTGTTCAATTTCAGGGCCTCTACAAGCACTAGGGCCTGGAGCAGCTTCACTGCATGCACCTGTCTGAGGCTGCTCCTGGTTCAAAGAAAGTTGTGTTCCACGTTTACCATTTGGTAATGATCTCGTTTTCTGTTTAATACTCTTCAAATTAAGACACAAAATCTCACAAACTAAGTTGCACTAGTACTTGACTAAACCAAAGAATTTACTAATTAAATGAAGCATTGATAAACTTATGAGTTAATTAAAATCAAAATACTGTAATTTGGAATTAAAATCACTGCTATTTCTAAAATTTTAATGCATGAAAGTTGTGATTTATTGCAATCTGGAGAATATTTCACCTCTTGGGCAGACAGCTTTCAAAAGATTTATTACAATGATGTAGAAATAATTTCTGACCTTTAGTTGTCTTCTGAAAGGTCCGATTTATTTCTCTTCTTTTGTACCATCAGAAAATATAATACCCAAGTAAATTGCTCAGGTACTCATCTGTTTCTTGCCATTAGACAATTATGCTTTTTTTTTTCTCTTCCTCCTCAAACAAAATCAGGTGCTAGTATTTGAAGAAATTACGAATCTTGTGTTGTAGAATCAAACAATTATCATCACATGCAATACACTCAAACTATGGGGAGCTGAAAAACTAACCTAATCGACCAATATACTCAGTGTAAAATAGGAAAAAATTAATTATTAAAGAATATACTTCTGGGTACTACAGTTACATCTTAATACATTTTTTCTTAATGTTTGAATCACACAGGTACCTAATTATTGTCAAGTTCTTCCCTTCTTTTCATTACAGGTTAATTATTTTTCTAATTTGTTGTTTTGTACATTTCAGGCTGGTTGACTAGCTGCCACCTGAACTGTTACTGTATACAGTGTTTTTTATTATTTTTTTCTGTTATTAAGAACTTGAAATAATGATTCTATTACATCATGGCTATCTTTTTTGTTGTCCTTTCCTTCTTAATAGTGCAATCTATTTTTTTAAATTTTGATTTTTGTTCAATGTCTTTGCAATCCAAAACTGCTTAAGTTGCATCCTAAGATGTGAAATATTAATGTAATAAAGAATTTTCATACTTTTTTCTAAACATTTTTGTGAATTGCAAATGTATTTCTTCTAGTTTTAATAAATAAAGCCTTAAAATTGAACACTGCAATCTCTTCAACAACATGTATGTTACCACTGACTTTTCAAGTTTTTTTTTCTTTTTAAATTATACAGGTATATGCATAATCTAAGTAAGTGGTCCTAGAGTCACTGTCATAAGAGTGTGGTTGTCCATGTTGCATATACTACAATGATTTTTTAAGTTAACAATCAGACTTAGGAAGGTATTTCCTATGTTTATCCCTGAGGCCTTTAAGGAGATGTACATGAGTTAGATTCTGTGTTCTAATGTATTTTTGGGATTACTTGAGTTGATCTAGCTAGATTGATCAAAAAAGAAAGTTCTAGGTCTTTCTAAGATAATGTATGTAGTAAATAAATTACAAGGTGTTGAATGGTTTTATAGAATGTGTTGTTGAAACTTTAATTTTGTTTACTTTGTCTTCCCCTTTACGTAAAGAGATAAAAGTTCAGTGTCAAAGAAATTCTACTGAAAGTATTTGTGTCGCATCGCATCGTATCATAAAAAAAGTAAACAACTTGATTTTTTTTGCACCCCCATTTGTGGTAATGTAATAAATTGTAAATAAATGTGAAAAAAACAAACTTGTAAGGTTTGCCTTTATTCCCTCAGTGTCTTAATTTCCCCTTGAACTATTGATTGAAGAGAGTAGAAAAGGAGGTTTTATGTATAAATCTTCTTGTGAAATTTTGAGTTGCTTTTCTGTATTTTTCTTTCTACTAAAGCAATAAAGATTAACTTTCCAATCTTATGGTTTCCTGTTTTGTTGAAAAAGCAAAACTTTAGAAAATATACACGTTGTGTTGAAATTTGTTTTGTTCCATAAAAAGAAGTATTTTTCACTTTGGTAACTTAAGAGCACTTTTCTCAGGTTTTTCAACAACAGCTTGAAGAAGAGAACAAAATAATTGAAAGATTTATTTAATATTTCAGTTTTTAGTATATTAAGCAAACAGACATTTGACGAAATTCTGATATAAAGGTAAAGAAACTTCAGTGAACTTATTTTTTTTAATGAAACTAAAACCTTGAAAGAGAGAGAGCTGAATGGTGTATATATACACTTAATTCTAACCAATCAGTAAAAGTTATCATCCTGAGAGAGAGCTGAATGGTGTATATACACTTAATTCTAACCAGTCAGTAAAAGTTATCATCCTGAGAGAGAAATGAATGGTTGATATACACTTAATTCTAACCAGTCAGTAAAAGTTATCATCTTCACCATTCATTTCTCTCTGTATATACACTTAATTCTAACCAGTCAGTAAAAGTTAGGATCCTGAAGGATAGAAGAATGGTGGGTATATACCTAATATCAACTGGTTAGGAAAAGTCTTTTACAATCCTTAGAAAATGCTTGAAAGATATTTAATACAAATGGAAGTTAATATGCTATAGAGAAAAGAATGGATAACAGATACTAAATACCAATCTATTGGTGAAAATTAAAAGCTTGAGAATGAACTGTGAATTGTTGAAAGTCACTGTTTGAGGAAATACCAGTGTAAGAATAAATTATATATTGATGGATGTAGTTAAACCAACTAAAAATTATTCATACAAAAACTTGGTAAATGAAGAAGAATGAATTGCTTGGCAAAAGTTAAGTTTATGGAGAAAAATTTTTAATACAAGGAGATGTTTTTTTTGGAATCAGGACTCTAAAGTTGGCAGTAATATACCATGAGCAGATAAGGTTCCTGGATAGTTAAATGGGTTAAAAAGTGTAATAACTGTGAAAATTGCTTTAGAGACTTTGCAAGATGGAGAAAGGCAGTGCTGTATAGTATTATGTCGAATTGCTTAGTAGTGAATTTTGTTATGGTTGGTTTCAAAAGAATATGGTGTTGATCTTTAATAGTTATTTGTTGACCATTCTTTGTTCTCATATATTGCAAGCTTGGCCAATAAGTGCAACTGTTGTAGTGCTTTAATTGACTTTGCCCATTAAAGTGATAGGCCTAAACTTTTTTTTAATCATGAATATCATGTAAGTTGTATAACTTTTTGAAAAGTAGCAGTTAAGTTATATAAGCAAGCTTGTGTTTGTAAAGCAGAGTTTTTATGAATCAGAGTGTCTTAGTCAGAATTAAAAAGGTAGTTTCAATTAATTCAGACTATTTAATTTGTCAGTCCTGTTTTGGGTATTGATAAGTTGTAGGTTTGTTAATCATTTCAACTCTGTAAAGCTAGTTATGTAGTGGAAATGAAACATAAAGTAGGTCCAGTTAAAAATGTGATTATTTTCAGTTAAATAATTTGTGTTACTTCCTTTAAGAAGTAGAAATTCACTTGTGTTGAGTTGTGCAGGTGAGCTGTAGTGATGTAATTATGTGTATATGTACAGTGAATCAGCATCCGTTTCTTAGTTCATGAATCAATTTTTAAAGAATTCCAGTTAAAAAACACTATGTAGCAATACTAGTCTGTTAATGAAACTTGATATCATAAAAGGGTTGAAAGATGCATATTGACATTTTGTTAATGAAATTCACAGAAAAAGCTACATCATGATAAAATTGATCTAAAACAAAAAAAGTTCAATGTTATATCACAAGAAATAAATGCATCAGAATTTATTAACCAATATGTTTGGGCAACTGCACCTTGTTATCAGCTTTTTTTTTCTTTTATGAATATTATAATCTTTTAAAAATGTAGAATAATTAAAAATAATTATTCTGCAACTGGATGTTGTGTGAATTAACTTGTATAATTATAATTTTGCATACCAAACATCTATGATCAGTTTTCTTAAATGGTTTATTGTAGCTACCATGTTCTGTTGCAGCAAAGAGGATTTTATAATATATATATATAAAACTTTAGTCAGAGAATCAAATATATTTTATTATATATGTTTACACAATTTACAAGCCTTTTGTTATGTTTTATAGACCTACAAACGTTAGTATATTTAATTTGTTTTTATTACAGTCTCACTTGCATTACAGTAGTCCAATGGTGGTAGTTAATTTCCCATTCTTTGTATTTATGGGGAAAAAATGGTGCCATAATTTTGAAATTTTCTGTTTTTGGAGATGAATTGTCTTTGGTGTTCTAAAGCTGACTGATTATTTGTTTATGTTTATATGTCTGTTATTGGGAAGGTAATAAAATTGATAAACATTACAAGAGATTACAAGTTTGTTTTTTTGTTGATTTTCTTTTGAAGTAATGGCTTACTTGAGTATATTATGAGTCATATGCTGGGAACTGTAGAGAATTACGATGCAAATGTTTCTGTAAATCAAGTATGCTTGGGTATTTGTAATTGTGGATATAATGCTCATTTTAAAAGAAAAAATTAAAACTTGTTTATGACAAGTGATTAGAATAGTGTTAAGAATTTTTATGGTTTGTAAGTTTTGTAGATAATTGTAATTAAGTAAACAGTTATCTTAAACACTTGCCGACGAATACATTAGAAGGAAATAAAATCCATATTAAACTGCATTAAATATTTGGTGCAACAATAAATTAAATACACAGTATTTTTCTTATCAAACGCTGTGGTATAACATGTACTAGCACTTGTACATGTACTTTCAAATTATTTTAGGGTTTTTTTCATGGTGGTACAGCAAGTATTTTATGTTTTAAACATAGTTATTAGTGTGATTTAGGATGTTACACATATAACCATAGCTTATTTGTAATTTTGCTATTGAACATGTTCATAAATCTGCAGGCACCTTTTTCTTGTTATTGGAGAACAAGGTGATTATAGGCCATTAATATTTAGTGTAGTTGGATTAAATGACTAAAAAGAAGAAAAAAAGGTTCCCTGTGAAAAAGTAAGTTTTATTGCCTTGTACTTTTGTTGTCTGTTTAGAAACATCAAATATTTTGGTACCGAAACAGTAGTTTGTTTTCCAGTGACCAGAATTTCAGGACGTTACAGAACCTTATGTATTAAGATAATGGAAAATAATTATACTATTATCACTGATTTTTTAACTAAATATGTTTCATATCTGTGAAAATTGTATTTTAAAATTTTCAGTCGGTTCTTTTCTTGCCACCTTTATTTGGTGAGTCGTGTTTTGTTTGAAATCCAATAGATCAAATGCTCTTAGAAATGAATATATTTTCCATTAGAATTGAGAATGGAACCTTAACTCTTACTTTTCAGCTGTACCTCTGAAACCACAGGAACCTCCTAAGGAACAAAAAGATGAAGAGGGAGGTTGTATTTGTTAAAAATGTATTTACTTTACTACTCCCAGTTGCATGCCAGAAAAGTTCTAATGATATTAATTAATGATCTGCTTGATTTGCTGGCCATAGCCTACAGGATCTATTTCAAGTCTGTTGTACCACACCTACACATAAAAGCTTGTGACAGCCACTTCACTCCTATTTAGGCATTTCACACTTCAGCTCCTTGCTTCATATTAATGATATTTGCTCATTCCACATTTCGTGCTATTTTCTTCTGTACTGAGATTCTAGAGACGTCGAGAAAGCAAATAAGAACTGTGATCATATGTATATTATTTGTTTCTTATGATAGCTCAGTCAACTACAAAATTGTATAGTTTTAATGTAAAGTAAAAATTTGTTTTCAGAATGATTTTCTGTCTATGAAACACAGAGGTGGTGATAATTGTTATTTCACTGGCTCAGATAGGCATAACAATTGAAACAATCAACAGGCCAATGGTCATTTCATCTTAATAATAAAAACCCAAATATATTTAAAATCACTCTTCTATATTCAATGATTAAGTATGAACTTGAGTTGAGCAAATGGGCTTGAACAGGTGTTAATTTGGCAGTACCTTGGAGTTTTTCTTTAGTTAAGCTTTTTAGCACAGGTTGGTTAGTAATCAGATGATTTGTATTTAGAGTTCACAGTTATATGGCACTGTATAGCAATTTTATTTCATAGTGCAATAAATGAAACATTGTACAGCTATCTATTTATGCAGTGTTTAAGAGCCAGGATTTCATAAACCTGAAACGTATTAAAATGTTAATTTTTTCAAACTTGTAATTATGTTGAAGTTCTTTATGTCACTATCTATAGCAAAAACCTGTTACAAAGCAAATTAATGATATGTAATACTTTGAAACATTTTAAATTCCTTTGAGTTAGTTTTGGATGCACAAATCTAAGACATACCTTATATAACTATAAAAGTTTGTGGTTTAGAAGTTATTTGATTGGAAATTAACTTTATAAACTATCAACCTCTGGTTTAGCATCTGTTTTTAGGAAAGTTTACCTGAAATAAAATTTTGTCTGTGTTGTAAAAATTGAGCAATTACCAGATTGTTTGAAATTAATTCGTATATTTTCATTTCAAGAGCTCATAGAAAGTGTGTATTTTAGAAGATAATTTATTAATCTGGTAAACACAAAATCCTTATCAGAATTGCAAGATATATTAACAGAAAAGTATTTATTCTTTTTTTTTTTATAGATACATATATTATTACAAGGCTATTATTATACAGAGATTAGTATATCCAATGAATATGTTGTGATGCATATTTTATGAATTTTTTTTCTTCATTTTGTGTATGTGCCAGTGTTTTAATCTTTGTTGATTTGCTGTAGTGGATGATTGTTTCAATGTGTTTTAAAGTTATACCATTAGACCTGTCTGTTCTTACACAAGGTAATGTGTATTTTGTTATGGTTACTTTGTACAATAAATTTCATTTAAATCATAATTTAAAAAAAAAAGTTCCTTGTAAAGATTCTAATTTACTACAGTAATAACTTACATGATATTAAGTATAGTACACTTCAAAAGTATCATAATAGAAATCTGATCAGTAAAACAACTTCCGACAGTACCAAAAATGGGTGACATCATTTTTATAATAAACTTTAATAAATGTGAGTCAGTTCTGGTATTTCCCCCAAAACAAAGCCAGTTGAGGAGAGTTCTGCCTTTAGTTTACAGTGTTTAAATTTACCGAGCATAACACAGCTAGATTTCTGATACTAAGCTGCTATAAACATTTTAGTGTACATAAGGAAGGATGCAAGTCTTCCAGATGAAAGGTTTTGTCTTTATTAAACAGTTTATGGATTCACTTTTTTCCTTTTCTTTCTTTAGGTATATACAAGTATTTCAGTAATAAGTATTTTGGGTGCTAAAGGAGAAAATAATTGTAATTCTTAGCTGGGCATTAAGGTCTGACAAATTGTACATTCCCATTTCCTGTCAGTCTGTAGCTTGGAATACTTGCTTGTTTTAAAGAAGTGTAGATATGTGTTCTTAGTGTTATCATGCTGACATGTTAACCTATATTATATACATACATCTAAATGTATTTAGATTTTGAAACGAAATCATTAATTTTGAGTTTTACCAAGAAAGTTAAGAGCTACATGTGAATGGATCAATTCTCATTCCTCTGTCCCATTGTATGTAGATGTCACAGGATATTTGCTGTGACTGGTCACTTGAAGGATATCTGCAAAGCTGAGTTTACATTTTTTTGTTTCCTGTTAATCCTGTGGATGTTTATCACCTTGTATATGAAAGAATGCTTTTGTAAGAAAAGCAATGGTTGCATTAAAGTGTCAGTGCCTATAAAGAGTTATTCTGAGTATTTCTGTAAAAGATATTACAGAACACAACCATCTAATGTGCACAAAAAAATTAGCTACCGAGTCTTTAGAGAACTGTAGTGAAATTTATTTTGTAGGAGATAGAGTACACAAACTCTTAATACAGACAAACATAATCCTACCATTCTGATATCTAACAAATGTTTAATTTTTTTAATCTTAAATAAATAAATAAATAAACATTTTTGGGTTGAAAATAAATATTACCCTTGTACGGCTAACTCGACATACTACAACTGGCCACATTCATACACTAGACAAGCTAGACTTCTAGTTACTATGTATTACTCAGTACCTGAAATATAAAGTTTTCTACAGTGGTGACAACTGGACAATACTTTCTCATAAGCATTCATTTCTGAAACAGTGGATATATCATTAAAGGGATTAATAATTTTTATAACCAAGATAAAAACTACATTTTCCAGCCATAAAAATATATTTGTCAAACAGTATTACATGCAAGGTATAAAAACTTAACCTGATACAGATACACAAATACTAATTAAAATGTTTACTTAAAGTGGATAGTATGAAAAGATTTGCATACTACTTCCATGCTTGGCAAAAGTAAATAAAATGTCTTGAAACACTTTCAACATTTTTTTTCCTTTTATTTATTCTAGCAAGTAAAATAATGTTTAAAAAAGGCCAAAAGAACAACCATACTACATTTGAGATAACATTCAAGATCTTTCCATTAGAATACTGTACAACTTGTATTACTTTGGAAGATCATAAACTGACTGATTTAAAGTAATTGCAACATTTTTTCTTTTTCTAATTACCCCTGTATCCTAGACTATTTGACATTGTGTCTTCACTGTGAATATATCCAATTTTATTAACAGAATATTTAAATTTGTATAATATCATTACACCAGTTAAATTTACACATGTAAGGATTGTTTTCATAAGCAGATATTAGTGATTTATGTTAGTTGTAAAAACAAGCAGTTGTTTTGATCATACTTTCCAATACTTAAACAGTGTAACTAATTTAAAATATTCAGGACTATTGGACAACTTAGACATAAGGAATACACACTTGTTTGAAGCATGTAAAATACCTTAGGAACATTTGATTTGTAAATTTATCTGCATTTAATGTAGTGTAGTTTTGGATGTAAATCTCTTCCAAGTATGAATGCTTTTCTTCACCACAACCTGTAACACATTCAGAGAATGTCTTGAAAGTTTGATTACAAGTTCAGAGACATTTAAGTTAGAGTAACATTTTTGGTTAATTAAACAACTAAAAAAATGTACATCCCATAAAACAATTACAGAAAAGTTCTTTACAATTATATTGTAGAGTTCGTGAAAGACATCTATATTGTAAATATTAACTTTGAAAATATTTACTTTTCCAGATAAATATTTGTTTAAAGTAATAAGCAAATTACATGACCAATACAACACAAAAGAAGCAACAACTGCTTTTGTATTACAAAGTTTGTGTTTGCTCTTTCTATAGCTATACATTTCCAGAGTTAAAAAAATATCAATCCTGTTCCAGTTATACAATGATAACATTTATAATACAAGTATTGTTAGAGTGAAATAAAAAAAAAATCAGACACAGCTAAGTTTCAGCTCATATCATGAGAATTCTATAAATTAGAGAGGCTATGCTCAATGTCTAGTAACAAAGGTGTTAGTTTTTGCAACCTTTATTTCAGACCAAAATGAATAATCCTAAATTCAGATCAATTGTTTGTTAAAACTACAGAATACCTGCAATATTTTCAAATACATAGAGCTTCACAGATTTAGAATACCTGTAATTTAGTCTGATATTAACTAACCCAAATAGAATAACGGTATTTATTTTATCCAAAACCATTATCAATACTGATAATTTACCCAGTTTTAGATCTTCAAGATAAACTTTTAGCAATAACTGTAAAATGTAATACACTGATGTATTTCTTAGACTTTAAATTGAAGATGTCAATTTTGTACACAAAATTATTATTCAAGACTAAGAAATGTGTAACAACTTACAAGAGAGTAGAAGACAATGCCACAAATACTAATATATTTATATATAAAATTTTCCTAACAAGTCCACAACTACCTGGCATTGTAAATAAGGTAAAGAGAAACCCACAAGCAACACTGACATAAATTATCCATACTAAACCAACTCCTACTAAAGCAGTGTCTCTGAGTTTTGAATAGATTTACAAAGTATTACTTGTGCAAAATAATGTATTGGCTACCAAAGTTTACCAAAAATGTTACACACCTTGGGATATTTTTTTTTAGAACTTTATGTAAGATGCAACTGTTTGAAAGCCAATATAGTTATTTTGCTTTGGATCTGTAAACTGATATTTTTTCAGTTTATATTGAAACAAGTCACTGATTGAGTATATCACTTAGTTTTTGTTTTTTTCATGAGTTTTCTTTGTAATACAAAACATCAAGGTTCCATACTAATATTGAAATGAAATTGTTACCTGCTCAGCTCACTTCATACTGTTTTTAGTAATATATCTTTGAATTTTTTAAATAATAATATTACAGTAAACCAAATGAAGTTGTTACTTACTCAGCTCACTTCATACTATTTTTAGTAATATATATTTTAATTGTTTAAATAATAATACTACAGTAAACCGGATGAAGTTGTTACTCGATCAGCTCACTTGATACTATTTCTAGTAAAATATCTTTTAACTGTTTAAACAATTATATTACAGTAAACCAGAGGAAGAAATTGTTACCTGCTCAGCTCACTTAATAATATTTCTGGTAAAATATTTAAATGTTAGACAATAATGTTATACTAAACAGAATTTCAGTAAACTAACCAAGACAATAACCCCATCTTTTACTTTCTAAGGTATTTACATACTGGAAATAAAACAGTTTAACAATTATTAATTGCACACTTAAAAGAGTAAGTGTGACTTTTATGAAATACTGGCTGGATAAACAAGATATGGTCATGGTGTAATATATTAAGTATTATCTGGTATAAATACATGACTATCACCTAGGCTCTACCTACCCTGTATCATAAAAGTACACCTGAGTTTGCTTAATCATTTTCTTAATTACATCTACATAAGTATTTCACGTCTTTACATTTCACCTGTAACTTATTTTAAATAATAAAATAATTCTGGCTTTCTCTCAGTACTTGCCAATTAACAATTTTTAAACAACAACTGTTGTACTTTCGTTCAAATTAGATTCAAACATTTGGATGTTCCAATCATTACTTCCCAGTATACATTGACAATACTAATGTCACTCAGTCTGTCCACCCATTAAACTCAGTTTTTATTTTACTTGTTGAATTAGAACAACTCTTCTTTACCAAATAAAAAAATTACGATATATATCTACACACACACACACACAAACATTTATAAACTTATAGCAATGCTGAAATTATTATGACAATTCAGTCAATTTTAGCAAATTAATAAAATTTTCAAACAATGAGATACAACTATTCAAATAAAACTGAAACCTAGGATTTTCCAATCCAACCCAGAATACAGTTCTTTTTAAAAAAATTATTATATAACTAGCAGGCCTCTCAGTGGGCCATTACAAAGATAAAGGTTCTTTTCTCTTAAAATATAGAGTAAAACTTTAGTTTTGCAAGGCAAAATATATAATTAAATATACATAAATCATTTATGTTTGACTAATAATAAATGAATTTATACAACCATCTGTAAAATTGTTATAAAGAAATACATTACTTTACGTTAGATGTCAGATTTTACCAAGCAAGTCTGAATTATTCCCCCCAAACATCACAAATTCTGAAAAATTGTTATATTTCCACATATTTCTATTTTAAAGTACTGTTAGTTACAAATAAAATTTTTATCTTTGAATTTATAAACTTGTAAAGGTTTTTATAGGTTTCACTGGGAAGCCTACGCTAGTTAAAAATATCATTTTATTTCTTAAACTGAGATAATGTTTTGAAACAAAACTAGTTACATAATTTTAGATTAAATAACAGTACTAGTTATTATCACATACTAATATAAAGGACAAGTACTATACTTCTTTCAAGCTCTTTCATTACACTTCTTTTACATTTTATTCATGTAAAGGATACTTTGGAGTAAAATGTAACAGTCTCAAAGAATTGCTAATAAATGTACACAAAGTTACTTAAGTACTTTACAAATAAAATTTAAAGAAATAATCAGTAAGACCTTCTAAATAAAGTTGATCATTTACTACGTCATGTACAAAACATTTTTTTAGTTTTTAAAAAGGCATTTATAGTCATTTTGTTTATTCTTTACAGTAATTTATATTTCACTTTATACTGAAATATACTATATCCCACCTAAGAAAGCTAGACACATAATTTAAGAATATACTGTACGAGACTGACTAAAAGGTTACAGCAAATATGCTTCAGTTTAACCTCCTTCTAAACAAAAAAAAACAACAAAAAACAACTCAGAACACAGTGAGCTTTGACCATTTTTATACAAAAGATAAAATTAAGAAATCCAGTTTCTCTTGAGGCAGGTGCCTATAGATATATATTCTGTACAACTGCTGAGAACTTTAGTCAAGAGGATAAGATACCTCAGTGCTTCTGTGTAAAACCCATGAACAGGAACAGAAGTTCAGCTGAAAGAAGCTTTACCACCATAAAACAGGTCCCCACATCATAGTGCCAAGAGCTGTACCAGCTAACATACCCATAGCCATATCTGTCCCATCAGGGCGATAATAACGCTGAGGCTGATACACAAGTGGGTTCTGGACTTGTGGTGATCCTGTAGAAGTGTGTTTGAGTAACAGATTTTCATTCTGAAAGGGTTCTATTAATGAAACTTATATAAACAAAATACTTTTTAAAGAAAACTAAACAGATTAAAAGAAACCACCACTACTTGCATTAGGGTGATAGTCACTATAACAAATATTAAAAGTTATAACAATAACAAAAAAATAGAACTTGGGTTGATAAAAAAAAGGCTTTTATCAAACTTTTTAAACACATGAGACATTCTCATAAGAATAATACAATAATAATCTTGAAAGCAGTTTCAATAACAAAAAAGTATAGCAATCATACTAGAAATCTCACTACTTTTGCAACAGCTTGTCACTGAAGTTAAAAACATACTAATTGTGATCTTCACTACACACTTACTTAAATGTTTTTTAACCTTTTATTTTTTATTTCTAAAATATCAAATTACTGTTGACAAAAAAAGTTGAAAAAACTCTTCTAAATAGAAACATATTTTTTACTAATCTAGTAAATTCAGAACTGTGGCATTTCTCTCATAAAAGAAAATATATGCATCCCCAAAATTATTTTTCATTTTTGTACTTATAGTTGCTATATTAGTTTGGAATACTAAATTTTTGAAAAATTCCAAGGTAATAAAAAAACTAATTCCAATTTTGTTTTTTTAAATATATGATTATCGTTTTATAACATGGGAAGGACTCATAAAATTTTTCCTTGAAAATTTTCCATTGACTAATTATAGTCAGTTTTAATTCAGGGAACGTATATTTGAATTTACCATGCTTTTTTTTACCTACTGTGTACCCCTCAGTTAATCTTTTAAACAAGTTCAGTCCCTTCAAACATAATTTCATGCTAAATAGCAAATGGGACAAGAAGTTGTTTTTTTTTTACCTTGGCCAGATATTATGACTGACAGCAAAATCAGGGGAAAACTTACAAAATGTAGATTAAGTACAGATGAACCCTTTTACTATGGGCGGGTGTATTCCACCCAGCACATATTCCCCAAAGTAACCATAAAGTAGTTATACTATAACTTTTTTTAAATGTACACGTATATTTATGAAATTTTGCAGATTATCAGTAAACATTACAAGGCAATTGTACACAAGGTATAAGAATTTTTAATTAAATTCTAACATTTTTTTAAATAATTATTTGCTTGTGCATTTTTTTTTATTCTTGAATGTTGACTAACCAACACGCAAAGTAATTTTGATTTTATTATCAAAAATACTTTTATGCATCAGGAAATTGTTAAATTTCACATGCAAAATCTCTATAACCTCCTAAAATCTTCCAATTAATTATCAAACGTTTTTTCTATAAAAAAGACTTTCTATTTTATCTGTTATTTTCACTATTGTATCTCTGTATGGGTGTGGTCAATTTGACAGACCTCGTAACCACCATAAAAAATTGGAAATAGATATAAATTATGCTTCTTTTGTTCTAGAATTACTACAAATTATAACACGAAAACACAAATGTTTAGTCTAAATAGCTAAAATCTCATAACATTATACATATATATAAAAATTCATTATTTCTATTTTATTGACTCTTCAGCAATGTCTGAGTAATATTACAGAAGTTGAATGACATGGTGTACATGCACTCATGTTACCATATCCAATAATATAAACTTGGCCTTGACAAAGTGACCTGTCTTGGCTGTGTTCTAGTGGACTAGTATTTTCTGAAATACAGTCACATTTCGGTTATAATACATTATATATGTATATACATTATTACTATTTACAAATAAGTTCTCATATTTCAGTAATTTTTCTTAGAACATAGAAATAAAAATATACAGAAAACAATTATCTCTTCTAGTTACACACTTTGTACTCATTTGCTGCTTGCCATAAGTTGCTAAGCTTTATCAAATTCTGGATGTGGAAAATGCAAAACAAAATATATTTTTTTTTAGATTTTATGTACGAATATTGAAATAACAAAAACATATATTACTATATCAGTACCACAGAATTCCAATATAATTTATCAGGCATACTAATTAAGCTGTATTTGGGTCTAAAAAATATTTTTTGAGCTTAATAATATCTCACCTTACCACTTGGAATCTACCATGAAAAGAAATGCTTTTCTGAGGCTCAGCAAACCATGTGGAACATTCTGAGCTTATAATTAGTTATTCACTTGTTACAGACTGAAGCAGGTGTATGTCAGCAAGTATTTCCAAAAATGGAAAGAGGTGAGCAAGCAACTTTGTTTGATTCAGTAAATGTAGAGATATCTCAGAAAATAGAAAAGATAGAAGGTTCTTATTTTATATTCTAGCTTGTCAATATTGGTAATTTGAGTTTCTAATTCATAAGAAACTATAGACTTGTATTTGGACATCAGAAACATGTAATCTGAACCAATGATACTGCATTCACAACACACCACATGACACACAAAAATCGATATTTAAGGTGTTTTTTTTATATTTTCTTTTAAATTAAGAAATTAACTAATGTATAATACCAAAATTTGAATTATAACCTTCACTTTGAAACAAACTTACTAACATATATTCATAAAATAGCAGTTCAATAAAATTTTGAATGTTAGTCTACAAAGGCCAGTGACCATATGAAGACCCATCAGACCTGTCTCAGTAGGGTTAAGAGTCAATGAATACTTTACTTTTTTGTTCAATTATTATTCATTGTTGCTGTAAAAGTTAATGTTTTACTGTTTTTGGCCTAAAATAATTTATTTATTAATAAATAATTAATAAATAATCTAATTTATTAGAGATCTCTTTAAATTTTAATACAGCATCACTAACTATAAAAGGCTTATTCCCTTTTTCACTCTGTCGAGAAGATATTCACTCTCTTTTTTTGGTAATGCTCAACAATATACATTGTTGCTTAGCAACAAAACTCTCATCTGATTGTTCTTAGGCCAACTATGGTGTTTATTGTTGAATGCTCAATATTCATGGTGATTTGTTAGAAAGTTTTATTCTTTATTTGTTTGAGAACTTCAGTGATATAACAGCAAAATAGTTAAAATTCACCAGGTAGTGTTTCAGCCTTACATTATGTATATGTATTAGGCCTAATCCTCAAATTAGACTACATATAGGCCTAATATTACTAATGTTATAGAGTCAGTGTTTAAAGTTTCAAATGGTGAATAAATAATTAATAAATATTCTTTTGGTATTTTAACACATAAGTTATCTACTTGGCCATAAAACACAAACAAAAATAAACGTTTATTACTACCAAATATTTTTTATCCTTTGTCCAGTCAAAAGAATTGAAAATTTGTGTCAGAAAGTCCACTCTATGTTTTCTACTTCCTAACCTCGAATTTTGTGAAAAAGGCTCAAGAGTGCCATTTAATCTCTTTCATGGTGCACACATACTTTTTGTTCACGATAACATTTCATTTTTCTGCATAGTTTTTACCAAAAATGTGGTGAGTAAAGAATTATTTCGAGACTGATAAAATAAGTGATGAGTAGGTGCATTTTGGAGGTACAGACAAAATCGTTTTAGTTAAATTCTATAATTTCCATTAATCATTCAATAATGGTTTCCCATCATTTTTGATGGGCTTTTATACTAGTACAATTATAAAAATTTAAAGACTGATATTTATAAATATACAATTGCTAAATGTTTAGCAGCCACAAATGAAAGAACTTTTCAATCATCAATACAATGATGGATTTCCATTATTAAAAACAGAAATAAGTTCACGTAGTTTGTAAAACAGGAACAGTTCCTACCTCAATGAGTTATATTACTGATTAAATTAACTTACCATATGCAGAAAGGTAAGGATAATATGGTGTCTGAGGGTAAGGGTATGGTTGAACATAAGTCAGAGAACTGTCTCCTGAAAGTACAAAATCTACGATGTATTCTGATACCCAATTGTTAAAAAATAAGCAATACTACACTAGTCAACATTGCAGTGACTTCTTAGATAAATGTAAGTTTAAAAACAAACTACAAAATAAAATTTTACAAACTATATCAGTTTAACAATGATAACCCACCCATCAAGTAACCTTTGGATTGCCGTTTTTTTTGTTTTTTTTATACCATTCACTACCAGTGGGGTCCACATAGTACATCATAGAAGGTGCTCATCAAAATATGTATTTGTTAACCTTTAATTCACCACGTATAAAACTATTACAATTGTATTTACATACTTTTGGCGAACCCCAATTCTTTACAAAAAGATGTTTGACTATTTGTCTTTTTAATGGCAGGATTATCATGAGAAACAGGCAAACAACAGGTGGTACAGAAAGAAATGTTGAGAGAAAAAACAAACATTTAAAATAGTTGCTAGCAAAGTCTACTTACCAGTGTATGCAGGAAGGTAACCAGGGGAGTACGGTAAATAAGGAGGTGGCTGTCCACAAGTTCTTGGTTGAATCTGCAGTAAAAGTGAAATACATCACAAACTACACAACAAATTAAAATCTAATAAAATACAGGTTTTCTCAAGAAGTAATTTTTCTGAAAATCACATTATTTTCTGCATTTCTGTATATTTTTTAATAAAAGCCTTTGAAAGTTAAGCTAGATTTATTTTAAGAGTACTAAACCTTTTTTAAATACAATTTTCAATCGTATTGTATTTGTTTGTCTTTATGTTTTCTAACAAAAATTCCTAAATAAAATTCAGCAAAAGCTTATGTCTTCTTACTGTTATATAAAGTAATTCTTTATTTAGCACCCATTATAATTGTGCAAAGAAAATGAAGTAAATGAATGAGACATGTCTATTTTCACCAATGTAAGTATACTAGTCTCTTTATTTTTTTAAGGAAAGTTGTTAGTGCTTTAGGGAAACAATTATGAACTTATGTTTTAACTCTTAAGATATTAGTCCTGGTTCTTGTTTTATTATTTGATAGCTCTGATTGTAGACGATAGTCAAACAAACAATGGACTCAAATGAAAGCAGAATATCTTAGAAAAATATTGTTAATCCATTCCCACTAACATCTGTAAATTTTCCAGACCATTAAAAGTATGTGTTTATTCTGAGCACTCAACATGATTTACAGATAAGTATGACAGTTTACTTTGTTTTTGAGTCAAGTCAATCAACAAAATCTATTCATGCAAAACTTTTGATGTACAACTTGAGGCCTTGTCAGAGTGAAATTTAACCTGCAATGCATTCATAGTGTAAAAAGAAAAAGAGGATCAGCCTATACAGTGTTTGGACTATTTTATTTACATCAATGACTTAGATGAAGAAATAGTTAATAAATTGCTTAAATTTGTTGGTGATATTAAGGTCTTGAGTGTTGCTGGCTGTAAGGAGAAGGATGCTGCCTTACCTAAAGTTTTAATTTATTCTAGGGTGAATAACTGGCGGATGGCTTTTAGCTATAATAAATGCAAGATAATGAATGTGGGTTATCACAATTTAAGTTATAAGTATAATTTTGATGGAAGAAGAGGATCTTGATGTTTTGGTTGATCAGTCTCTTGCATCATCCAAGCATTATGCAGTTGATGGAGCAAATAAGATTTTAAATTGTACCTAGAGAAATACTGAATACAACTTTAAAGAGGTTTATAATTTCATTGAATAGGTCAGACCTCATTTGGAATATTGTGTTCAGTCTTGGGCTCCTTACTTTAGGAAGGACATTGAATTGTTGGAAATGGTTCAGAGGAGGGCTATGAGGATGATACTTGGGATGGAAAGGTTGTCATAAAAGGACAGTTTAAGGTGTTCAAGATTACTAACTGTAGTGATCATATTGATGCATCATCTTTTTTTTGTATTTAATGGTGAGAATGATAGGACAAGGGGACACAAATACAAAAATAAGGCCTAGGTCCACTATTACGGAAATAAAAATTATATAATTATATCAATTTGGTGATATTCCTTAATAATGGATCTAAACCTTATATTAGATTATTTTACATGGTATTGCATAGTTACTTACACCACAAAGACAAATTTTTGCAGAGTAGGTGTCATCTTTAGCTTCGACAGTTTTATTCTACTAACAGAATAGTTGGCCTTTGTAATGGTTTGCCTTCAGATTGGTGGATGCAGAAATTTATAGGAGTTTAAAGGAAAGGCTTGACAAATATTTAAATGATCGTAACTGGATTTCAGTTTGTTTTATTCAATGGACTGGAGAGCTTCAATGAACCAACAAACCCCTTGTTATCTTTTAAATGTTTTATGCTTTGTTATATTATGTAAGTTATCCACAGATTTTGTGACAGCCACCTAAATAACTAATTTTAGAATAAGTTTTTTCACTTTCAAAGCTGTACAACAATGGTTGAACATTGTATGACATGTATGAATAAATCTATTCTTCCATGATAATGATAAATTTATGTCAATAACAAAAGCAAATCATTTTTTTAAGCTTTTCTGCACATGTCTTTTCTTTCTTCTATTCTTTGGTTTTCAGCTGATGATTCTGTTGAAGGACATGTAATAATCCTTGACTGTAGGGCTTCTACTTAAGGGTAGCCTTTCTCTAGTTTGGTCACGAAAGAAGTTTCAGGCAATGTTACTATTCCATTCAAACATATTGGAGTAATTAATTTTATTTCACAACTACATTAACCCCTCTATTTACTAACATGTTACTCACTTCTTGTCACAAATTTTTATGATGAGGATGTTTTTAAAGAAAAACCTTTATTAGTAAAAAAACAGTAATGCTCCCCTGTTGTTTCAAATATAAATTTGTCACTTATGAACAGTGTAATGAATGTCTAATAAACATAACTTTTTTTATCTAGTTAGCTGTTGGGAAGTCCTGTGCAAGGTCTTATGAATACTGTTCATAACAGTGTTTATTTGAACACGATAGTAAGTTTTCAGCTACTACTTACAACAAATATTTATTTTAAAATAAAAAATATTTAATTTCAGATCATCCAATGTTTATTTGAACACAAGAAAGTTTTCAGCTACTACTTACAACAAATATTTATTTTAAAACAAAAAATATTTAATTTCAGATCATCCAATGTTTATTTGAGTACAAGTAAGTTTTCAGCTACTACTTACAACAAATGTTTATCTTAAAATAAAAAATATTTCATTTTAGATAATCCTGTGTTTATTTGAACACAACAGTAAGTTTTCAGCTACTACTTACAACAAATATTTATTATAAAATAAATAATATTTAATTTGAGATAATACCGTGTTTATTTGAAGAAAATAGTACAATTTTAGCTATTACTTATTACAGATATTTATTTTAAAATAAAAAGTATTTAATTTCAGATCATGCATTTGAGTTTTTAGATAATAGTAAAAAGATATTTAATAATATAAACATGAATGCAGAGTTGCTTTGAAAATGTCTAAAACAAAAAAGGCAGTAACTAGATATATATAACAAAAACAAAACTTACACCAAACAACCGTGCTTGTTCCAAAGCTAGCTGCCAGGCCCTATTTAAACAAACATATACAAAAAAGGATATTTATGTTCTGATACCAGTTCCTGACATAAGTTTACTTGTAAAAACCAATTTAAAAAAAGCAATACATATTGCTGAAGAAGATACAAAATTAGGCTGAAAAATATAGGCAAATGATAAACACTACACTGTACATTAATGATTAATAACATTAGCCCAATTTCCAAAACAAGCAGAATACAACAAATAGCATCAGTATGTTAAAAAATTGCTTTATGATGAGGAAACAAATTAATCTGAAACAGATAAGCTTACACTACTGCAGAAGTAACAGTTCATTACAAAAAGTATTTAAACTTTTTTTTTACTCATTATGAAAATTACACTAAGTACACCATATATAAAACACTAAAATACTGAATTCATCTGCTTTTTCTCTTCTTTAGTATTTTCTACCAGTTTTGTAACTTCAAAGGTCACTCCTCAGAACATAATTATAAAGACAGTGAACAAATTTAATGGTCATCCAAGATGACCAGAAATTCTGTTGAACAACCAAACGGTGTAAAATTTAGTGACTGAGGTTGTCCTTTGGACAACCAAATTATTTCAGACTTAAAGGCTGAACATACTGCCTTGCCAAGCATTTCAGTGTTGAACCGGGGAGAGGCAAGCAATGCGAAAATATTATCAATATTATTTATATTCATGTTTGTATTAAATGGCTCTACTGCATCATTTCAACTTCCAAACATACACACACAATGATTTTCATTATTAAGGTGCATGTTGCACACCACGAGTCCAGACTGGCAAAGAAACTTCCAGAAACACTCTACCTTTAGCTGCACATGTTGTACACAGCCTGCCTTCCAAGGTACCTATAATAGTGCGTGGAAAAACCCCAAACATGTGCACATCATGGAAGAAGTTTCCATGTTAGTAACATCCTTATTCAAAATGCAACAGTTGTGTGTGATAGTTCAACCACTTGCAATTGGCAATTGCTCCACTTACTATGTGCTAAGTTTTCTTTGGTAAAAGTTGATGGTTCAACTGGATGGGTGAAAAAATTATCAATGTCTCTCAGTTGAAATACATCGATACAGCTACTGAGAAGAAATGCGTCTAGTATTGAGAATAAACAAATATGTGGACTTTATAAGTGCACAAAAACTTGTTTGTTTTGGCATGAAATAATTGCTACTGTAACAAATCTGTTCATATTATGGTAGCAACTAACAAAAACTTTGCATAATCCCTGTCCTATAAGAATTGTATGATAGGAATGGATGCAACATGCATGAAAATATGAACATGCAAAACAACAGTTTTTGCTGGCTTTTTCAGCCGTAAACAAATCCTTTCACTGTGTACTGTACACAAAATGTATCCATGTTACAGTATTGCTTATGATAGTAAGGAAGTAAATTCTCCAAAAACTTGGTACACAACATTCAGCAAGTTATTGCATTATTTTTGCTGCAGTATTTTTGAGGAGTTCCAGTAGTGATCCAGTTATTGTATCCCACCATTTTACCTCAGCTAGCTTGTTTAAGGTAGTTATTCAAATAAAAATATTGCTCCTTCAAAATTTTAAATGTTCTCAAAATACATTCACTCAGATGTTTGATGGTATATATATATATATATATATATATATATAGGGCTTTTTTGGGGAATCTAACATGGAATTTATGTCAGTTCATCCTTAATTTTAAATTATCTGTTTTTACCAACATAGATTTCACCACAATTTGCATATTCTAAAACTGCAATTAAATACACTATTAATGAAAAACAAAACTACAAAATGATGAATTGTAGTTTTAATATAACTTACATTTTGAGCATGTAATTATCAAACATAAAAAAAACAAATTTTTAAAAATACTTAATAAACTTTTGCTGCCATTTTAAATAGGTAGAGGTAATAGGACAGAAATAACAGCAGTAGAGTAAGGTTAGTTGTAATAGTACAATGATAAAAACCAGTACTAGGAATCACAGAAGGTAAATAAAGTAAGTAAGTAGTAAATTTTTATATTAAATTGTTAAATATTATAGAAATAAACTGCTTTTCTATAACAGGGAAAAGTATAACTAAGATAAAGTTTTAATCAAAAGAAAATGATAAAGTAATAAAAAAAAAGAAGTGAAAATACATTTTCAAAAATTTTATGAACTGCCAACTCATGTAAATAAACAGATATAAATGTATTAGGCATGGTCCACATTCCAGCCTGTACAATCTCCTCCAGCAGGCAACACAACCGAGCTGCCAGGGACATCAAACTATGGCAAATTTGATGACGTGAGACCCAAAGAAGTTTCTGCTCCTCCAATGAAAGCCCAGAGTAAGCAATACAAACCAAACCTGTCAAAGTGACAGGAGATAACTCATGTGACACCATAGGATCCTAATGGAGAACCAACCGGTGACGTGAACCAAAACTCTTCAGTGCACGCAACACAACATCAGAAATCCCGAACCTGGCATAAAAAAAAATCTGGATCCGTAAAGTCATAAAAATGAGAACTGTAGAAAAGATGAATAGGAGAGAAAGCTTTGTCCCCTTCTGAAGTTTTTGATAGAAAGGACCCATCTGGATAAAACAGAACATAAATTGAATGATAAAAAGAGTCACGTGAACATGAATTGCAAACATATCCAAGCATCACCGTCCATGAGCCAACAGAAGAAAATAAGTCTTAAGAGAAAGATGATATAGGGAACATGACACCAAAAGTTCAAAGGATGAACGAGATAAGGCATGAAGAACCACTGTGATATTCTAAATAGGAACCTGGAAAAGACACTGAGGATGGATAACCCAAAAAGATTTCAAAAAAGGACAAAACCGGGGACTCAAAAACTTTACATCTCCTATAAAAAATAAAAGTAGCTGACAAAGCTATCTCATACAGAGAAACAGATGAAGGCAGCAAACCTTTGTTGAATAACCATGTCAGAAACTGAGAAACATGAGGCATAGTGGGACAAGAAGGATTAAAACCATGTCTGAGAGAGACCACTAACGATAAGTAAACTATATCAATTGATAAATGTCCAAAGAAGAATGCCAAATGGACCCATTAATAAAGATGTCACCTGAGAGTTCAATCCCTGAAGTCGTGTAATGAACCTCATAAAAGCCAGGTGTGAAGTCAGAGAATGATGATTGCTAGATGAAAAAATGTCCAACTGAGGCTGATGTAAGAGAGATGGCCAGAGAGGAAGCAGAAAAGGTTAGCACACCTGAAGATACTGAAGGAGTGGAAACCAAGGCTGAGCCGGCCAATGTGGCACCACCAGAAGAACTTGACAGGACGAGGAGTGAATTAGAGCAAGAACTTTGGATAATAGACAAATGAGAGGGAATGTGTAAAGATGAAGACCTGTCCAATCCTGACTGAGAGCATCTATGCCCAAATCCAGAGGGTAAGGTACAGGAAACCAGAAGGAATGGAGTTGGGCATTCCAGTTTATGGCGAAAACATTGATCTGAGGCTTTCCGAGACAAGAGTAGATCCAATGAATAACTTGTGGATGAAGTATCCATTCTGTGGGATAAACTCTGTTGGGATGAGATAACTGATCAGCCACAAAATTTGTTACACCTGGAACTTGACAAGCAACGAGAACAATCTGATGATTATGGTCTCAAAAGAGAAGATTCAATGTTTGAAATCAAATATAACTGGAGTGAGTGCCCCCTTACAAGGGAATGTACGAGACCACTGTGGAATTATCCGAGCAAAGCATTAGCACTTTCCCTCGAAACATTGCAACCCACAAGAAATAGTTTGATAAACTGCTAGAAGCTCTAATAGATTTATGTGGAGAAAAGATTCCTCTTCTGTCCACAGGCCCTTGAACTCCATATCCTCTACACAAGTGCCCCATTCCTGGAGAAAAACATCTGTGAAAAGGTGTATCTCTGGATGTGGGGGTGGGAAAGGGACATCTACTGTTGTGTTGTTCCTGTCCAACCACTAGCCAAAATCAAGCAGGCTGGAAGCTGATAGGGTCACCGGACAATTCAATGCATCCGTGCAAATGTTCTATTGATCCAGTAATGACCACTGAAGGGAATGCATATGGGCCCAACCTAAAGGAATGAGTGATTCGAAGGATGCCCACATCTCCAAAAGAGATTGAACCGCATGCACTGGTGGAGAAAGAGGCAACTGTATTAGAAGAACTGCCCCCTCCATGGCCTGAAGGTGTAGGGGAAAAGGTTGGGCCCAACTAAGATGGGAATTGAAAAACACCCCTAAATGAATGAGGTAAGGAGTGGGAGTAAAAATAGATTTCATCGTTTTGATGAGAAAACCAGTTCTCACAGCTTCTGATAAAAGAGCTCGAATGTGAAGTTCTGCCAAGTGGCAGGAAAAAGTGAGAAGAAGACAGTCATCAATATAATGCTGAATGTCCAAAGAGTGAAGATGATGTGAAAAGGATCTGATTTTCCAGTTAAAGACATATGGTCCAAATGTTAGGTCAATTGGTAGAGCGTGAAACTGAAAAACCTGTCTCTCATAAAACAGAGATAACAATGTAAGAACTCTGATTGGAATATGAAGAGAGGCATTGGTGATATCAAACTTTGTCATCCATAGACCATGTGAAACATGCCACTGAAGGAAAAGAAATTACTCCATCGTAAACCGAGTAGGCTGGAGGAAATTACTGAGACGAGAAAGATGAATAACAGGTCACCAATCATCTGTCTTCTTTGGTACTACAAACAGATGGGAATAAAAACGCTCAAGAGAGAGTCAATGTGCTCTAAAGCCTCATTGTGCAGCAGGTCCTGGATGGTTTGTGCTTGACAACTGGATGCAAGATGATCCTTGTTGAGTGGAAAGACAACCAGTATGATAGACAATGGAGAAGGAGATGTGAAATGTAGGACTAATCTTCTTGTAAGAACTTGAAAGTCTCCCATACTGACACAAATTATATGAGTCGAGCCCCCACAGGACTGGACCCCATAGGGTTGTCACCAATATCATTGTCTACACTCCACATGAGCGGAGGATACATATTGATAAGGGCAGAATCTCCCTTGTGTTCTGATAGAATGTGGAGCCAATGCAGGAGGTCTGGAAACCCTAATGGGAGATGCAGGAGACAGGTCACATCCACCCTAAATTTCAGGGAATCTGGAATACCTGCAAAAATTGAATCTCTGAGAAAATGAACTTCTCCGATATTTATAAGGGTTGAAGAAGGAAATCAAACTCCTTCAAGCAGGGCATCTCTCTCCCCAAAAGATCCCAGCAAAAAAAAACAACAACCAAGAGACCAAGGATAGAGCAGAAGCCGATAACCTTACCAAATTAGAAGTCAATGAATGACTAAGATCCTCTGAAAACTCAGCAGGAGACCTGTAATAGGCCTTAGACAACAGTTGCAAAGAAGATAAAAAATGCAAAACTGTTGTGTGGGGCAAATGAATTTGTGAAAATTGAGTTTGGTTAAGATTAACAGTGGCCTAGAACCCCACATAGGAAGAAGAGGATCTAGCCTCTGAGAATTCAAATATTGGTTCTCCAAGCGATGGAAAGCCTAGGCATGCTGATTCGATAAATGGGGATGACAATGCATGGCAGAACCCTCTTTCAATTGATCAGAAAATCTCCTAGCATGCACAGCAATGTCTGGTGAAGGTAGGAGGACCAGGTAATGAGCCAAATGATTTTCCCCCAACAAAGAAGGAAAAGAATCATAAGCTACAGAAGAAATGCTCAAGGCACTACAAACTTGATGTACTAGTAATAAAAATGGTGCAGGAGGCAGGATCTCCATCTTAGGCTCATGATTAGCTGTCTGAGCAAAGGAAGGTGCTGGAAAAATAGAGTCCAAATTCTCACCAGTCTGCCCCTAATATAGTTATTATATTGTCAGTATCAAAGAAATATTGGATGCAGTATTATGGCAGTTCTATTTTCAAAAGTAAAAGTAAGACTGAACTAAAAAATGATAAATTAAGAAGATGATCCTTTGTTTTAAGGCTTGAAATGAGTTATCAACTTATTATTACTAAATAACAAAAGTTATAGAGATTAACTTTGAATTCATTAAATTTCGAAAATTTGAAAATGGCTTTTAACATTTTCTTGTATTATAAATAGCTTTTCAGGGTCCTTGACTTTTTTTTAATAGTTAGAAAAATCTTTCTAAATGCTGAGGGTGACCAATGTTCCATAGATATGTTCAACCAAAAATAGATAAACTCTTATATTTTCTTTGGAAATATTTTTTTCTATTTTTACATAACTGATGACCAATCAACACTTTCTCACCTCATATCATCAAGTGATTCACCACAGAAAATCCATGTCTTTCCAGAGGATGCCACAACAGAAAATAGATATTGAATACCTCGTCCTTCAGGTGGTTGTACACCTTCAACCTGAAAAAAAAAAGGTTAATGTAAAAAAAAACAGTTACAGTACATTTGTGGGAAAATGAAAAGTGTTATATGATCTCAGAGGTAAGTTTTTCTGACTTGTGAACCACATTTAGCAACAAACACTTATTTACATAAAAGTAGATACAGTTATCTTGTCAGTGTCAGAATACAGGTATAATTCCCCAGATAGGTTACCAGTGTGTTATTGTTTATGAATTTTAATCGTTTTTTGCAATTTCCATTAGTTTTATGTTGAAAACACTGCTATGTTTTTTAACTATTTACCTTTATAATTAATTTCATTAAATCTTGGATGATATTTAATTTTTGATGATATTTTGAATGCATCTGATGCTTACAGGATTATTTTGTATTATTAGTTTACTAAATGGATTTAGGACTAATCTAAACATAAGCTGGAAGAACCTTGTGAAATATTACTAGGATTACTGTCTTGTGTCTTCAAGTCAGTTTCTTATACAATATTGGATTAATTGATTTATAAGTTTTTTTTAGTTCTGATCTTTATAATTACCTTAAGTTTGATCAAATATTGTTAGTATGTAAAAATAAAATAACACACACACAAACACATACATACATAACACATTTATTATGTTCCATCCTCACTATCACAGAATAATTAAACAATACGATATGATGACCACTTAAGTTAAATATTTGTTGGAAAGAAGATATTCCAATAACATAAAACATTCAACTAACCTGTGAGCCTGTTTTTATAGCTAAACAATCAGTAGTCATGAGAATAATATCCTCAGCATTAGGACTATGCTCATTTTCATAGTACTTTAGCTGCCCATCACGATACAGCTCAACCCAACTCCACTTCCATTTTTTAAGAATAGTTGCTAATGCAAATGATATACATAGATACTTGTTAAGCACAAATCTTTTTTAAATTTATATTCACAAATATACAAAACAGAAAAAGATAAAAAGATATCATCACTTGTTTATACAATAACAAGTAGTTTTTTTACCTATTCTAAACAGCTATTTTGGTACTGTGTAACTGAGTTGTATTTAAACTCAAGAAGTGTACACAACTACCACACTTGGTCACCTTATGAAACAGAAAAAGCTGGTGATTCTTAATATGTACAGACTTTACAGTTAAACAACTGAAAACAAGTAGGCAAGGTGTAAAGCATATTTCTCGTGGATTTTTCAGCAAAAGCAAAAGGAAAATTTATACAGTAATAAATATTTACTACAGCAAGTTAGAATAATTATCTTTTGTTTTGTACAGTATTTGTTAACCAATTTACATGAAAAACATTTACCATGTTTTTATGCAGCTAACCAAACAAGCAAGCACAAAATTCCTTTACTACAAAAAGAATTACAATATAAAATAGTATTATACAAAATTCATAATATAGATCACAAGGGAAAAAAAAAGCATGCTTGCATTGTTTCAAACTAATTAAACTTTTACATATTTAAGAAATTTCAAAACAAATTAACTATTGCTATGCAACAATTACACAAGGCTGAAGAACTTCTAGATCATGAAATAAGTAAATATTGTGATACTTGGTTAAATGATTTTAATGCAAAACCTATAAATTTCTTGAAATATATTAACCAAGTAAAGTTAGCTTTACAGAACAAACATGAATGGAAACTATATATAACCAAACATTGTTCATAGTACTGATAAGGAACAACAATTAATATACGAGCCATTTTAGAACAAATACTCAGTAATCTAGATTAGATTCTACACCTCAGAAATAGTTGAAAGTGTAGGCCCTGTAGAGGGATACTCTGAGCCCCACACCAGATCTAGAGAATTGAGAAAACTGCACTTACTTTTACCTCAATTTCACTTTTTTATCAGCACCAAAGATTAAAGATCAATAGTTATTGAACATTATCAACAAATTTCAAGGTATGTATAATATACATAAATTACATTGTCTTTGCAATGCTTGTCAAAAAAAAATATTGATTAAATTTATAATTTCACACACATAGCAATGATGAGTCATTTTCAATTTTTGCAAATATTACAAAACAAACTGATAAAAGTATTCTTGAGAAAGTGCTTCATAAACATTCTGAGTGACAGTGCTTATTGATTGAAACAATTTTTCCACACACGATGGTATATTCAGTACTAAACATTAGTTATTTATTTGTCGATAAAAAAATTGTCTCCACTATTCATTATATTTACAAAGATTTTACACAGTTTTCAAAGATCACTTGATTTGACAAGTATAAGATATTCACCCAACTATATGTATGTAAAAAGAAAAATTATGCTTACTTTGTCTCAACAGCCATCCACTTTTTGCAATTACAGAGTTATCCATATCTCCTACAAATACACATCAAACTGGAAAAAAAAAAAGGTTAATGTGAAACAATAATTCCTAAATTCAGGTTCAGATTTTCCATAATTATAAAAAGAAAAATTACAAAATTTATTGAATCACTACAGTATGAATAAAGTCAAGCATACTGAACTACTTGCTCATAAAACCTTGTATGGTATTACAGTTTTTTACATCATTTCTACACATGATTCTAGTTGTAAGCTATTCTTTAATTACATGTAGATCTGATGGGGTATATGTTTTTATTTGGTTTGACATAAGCTTTTGAGACAATAAAGAAAACATATAAAAAATCATTTTAATAATACACATTTAACATAAATATTACTGAATAAGAACGAATACTTAATACATATACTTCATAATTAAAAAACTCTCACCATACATATGTATATATGTGTGCATGTGTGTGTGTGTGTGTAGCCAAAAATTATATCACAAAATATTATCTCTGACATTTGGACATATACCAATACCTTGTAGTCTAACAAATCACTTTAAACTGAATGTTGACTAAAGTAGAGCATGCCCTCTCACAATGATGGCAAATCACATGTATAATAATTATAATAATAAATAGTTATCACATCATTAACTAGACAATGTTTTTCACTATTCTACATTATGCTACGATATAACATACAATTACATTATCTATTTCCAGCAGTGAATTTCAAGCAATAACTAAGTTTATTACATATGGGTATTTCTCCAAATGTTAAGATTTCAAGGTCTACTTGCTAGACTAAATGTACAGAAATAGCAGCTTGGCTAAACAGGAACAGAAGAACTTAGGTTATTTCATCATATTCAAAAATATAACTTTAGAATACAAAATGAACTTGCATTGAATATACAATGAATTGGGTCCATCACTATCAAAATTTTTTAGATAAATAATTAGTAAATCTTAGATACCAGTATAGGGATGAAATAATATTTCAATAGTATGATATACCATGATTGTGAATATTTATGATAATCATATTATGAAAATATTTCAATTACCCAATAATTGTAGGAAACAGTAGTCAAGTGACTCAACATAGTTGAAGCGGAGCACAAGGAGATATTTTTTTCAAAAGGATAAAATCATATGTAAAGAGAAATGACATAAAAGATGGTCATATAACTTGCAGAATATGTGGCAAGTCCACTGCATGCAAAGAAGTAATTTTTCACTTTACTGTGGAGCCTTAGAATTATTTTTCATTAATTACTGCTATCTAAAAATGAATTTGTATCTCAGTTAATACATTTTGTATCTCGATTTGTGATGCAATACCATCAATTTCCATCCATTTCAACCTAGTAGTTTTTCTTTGCAAGATACTCTGTTTTTTTTTAAATCTAATACCTTGCTATTTTTTTAACTACCAGTAGTTTCCTTTTGTTGTAGGCCATATAACACTGTGAAAAAAAAGAAGACATAACTTGAGTTAAATGTTTCTTTTCAATTAAAAAACAAAACAATTAAAAATTACTATGCTATTATCACATTGTGGATATGTAACATTGTTTCATCCCTATACCAGTACAATCATTTTCTATACAAGTATATTGTACAGTAGGTCATACTTCATGTGTCCTTCTAAGTGCTAACTACAAAAAAATTACATTAATTACAACTGGTTTACTCAAAAATTCACCTCTGTATTTTCTTAGAGATATTATGAATACACAGTAATTTCATATTCAGGTATAACTCCTTGTTTTCTATTTTATCACAGGTATATTTTTATATTTTACATTGTCCTATTAAACAAATAAACCACTAATAAAACTAGATGGAATTATATTTATAAAACAAATCAGTTACATCAATAAGATGAGAACAGTACATTTATATTGAAAAAAACAGGTCATTACATTTTACTTTAATAAAAACACAAAAATATATATCTTTTTTCCATTTACTAATGAGATTTAACATTTGTAGGGAGAATCAATAAGAAATTCACATCTTCTAGTTAAGAAATATGACACACAATAACTTCTACAATTTTCAAACAGTAGAAGAACATTTCTCAACCTGTGGTCCACAGCAGTGTTGCATAATCATGGAGAGGAAATGTAGTATAGCTTATTAATACTATGCAATTAATTCAATTACCTATGAAAATTAATGCCATGAAAATAATCATCATATCGAAATTAGGGTTTTCAAGTATTCTAACTATTCAATAATAGAAATATTACTATTATAATTTTTCATTATTATTTTCAATTAACTCAAGGTTGTCCAACTTAATTAACTATCGTGACAACTCAGGTACATATTAATTATGTTATGAATAATAGGTACAGCACAAACATTAAACTGGTTATAATTTACATTGTATTCTATATTCAAACACTTAAATAAAACAGAAAATGATTATTATCAAAATAAACTAAATACAATCATACCAGTAAACTATCAACAAGATCATGGGTACCACCATGTTTCAAACTCTTGCCTGCAGTAACATTTAAGTAGTAAATCATGCATGACTTTGGGAAATGATGTTGAAATGTTCATTAGCAACTTTTGGTAAACAAATATTTCATTTTCTATTCAGAATGGAATATGATTTTTTAATTTATTATATCCATCATTTTGAGAAGCATAATCAATCGTATGCCCAAACTCAAAATAACGAATGTCACAACATGAGTCTCAAAATCAAATGTCTGCAAATGTTAATTTCATTTTGGCACAGAAGTGATACATATGTAGAAATGCACAGAAAACTATTAGAGGCCTATAGTTAATGTAAAGAACAAAACACACAAAGGCTATGGCTTTTGAATAAAGGGGGGGGGATCCAAGGAGACCAAATACTATTAAAAATATATTTTCATAATGTAAACATTTCAAAACTATCAGAAAAAATAACTCTTTCTACTCTTCACATAAAGGCTTCACACTTCACACAAAGAAACTTTTTTTTATCCTAATTTACTTTTTAACCAACCTTTTAAGACAAACCTTGGTGACTTAGATTTGAATCCTAATAGGTGGACATATCATGGTCTATTTGTTAGACTATTATTTTGCTTGCTAACAGTAATAAATAAAAAACTTATTCTGATGGAATAGAAATATACAATTTCTCTAGATCATTCCAAATTACTTCAGAACACCTAAATGTTCCAGATTAAATTTTTGACATTAAGCTGTAATATCTTATACTTGTTTTCAGTACTTTCAGCCTCTGTGAAATGTGAAACAGCAAATACAAATTTTTTTTAACCAAGTAAGGAAATTATCATGCAGCTTGGAATGACTCAGCATAGCTGTTGTTGCTTCCTTTGAAGTTAGCTACAGATGACTTGAAGTCACTGTTACATACATCAATCTCTAGCATATGATTTTGCATCCACTAAAACACAGATATTGTTCACTGCCAGTGTTTGATTTAAGTCATGAAGCATTTTCTTAAATTATTAACTATAAAATTAACATGAAAGGCAGTAGCTCAGATGACCAATCCCAAGGCAACAAGAAGTTACTTGACAAAACTTACTCATTAAAGAGGCTTTTGTAGTAGCAATAATGTAAGTTAAAAATACCTATTTCATTTGATATTTCTTATTGGCATAATTGTTTATAATCTCTTCCCTCCCCTTCCCCCCAAAATGGGGATCTTAGCTAAAAAACCTAAAAATTTGAGTGTGTCCTGGTCACCTTAGTGAAACACAAACTTTTACTGATGAAAACTACATTATAATACTGTTTGATAAACAAATTATGATGACAAAATATTTCAAAACTTGATTTAGGATGAACTTTATTTACAGGGAGTTCTTTTAATTGCCCCAGCATATACAAATATTTTTTAACCCATAAAAGTTTTAACCAAATTGTAAATAAGGATATAAAAAACATTAGTATATTAGAAAAACAGAGGATAGGTTATGCCGATTAAATTTTTTTTTTTTAGGTAGAAATTACATATGTGATGGTGGAGTATCTATTGTTCAAAAGGCTACATACACAATGGTTGAACACGTCTACAGGTATGGTTATAGGATAATTGCTCATATGTTCATAAGTATCCACATTTGCTTTAATATGTGAATGTTTCATGGCATAGTAGGCAAAGGTATTAGTTCCTAGATTACAATGTCAGGCATAAATAAGAACCTCACCTCCTCCATGAGGTTTTCTTATCTTTAACAATCTTTTATTTTTTGTGCATTTCTCTGGAGAAATAAAGAAATATTAACTATTCTCTACTTTCGCTTGATTGTACAAAAAATAAAAAATAACTAGCAGAGCATATATTTTCTACACATTTTTTAAACCATATATATATATATATATAAGGTTGAGTCACATAATGTCAGCTACAGTTATTACACGGTAGGTTTGAGCACATAGCTCATCTTGATAAATTGTAATTAATAATACTTAATGTTTCAAAATTTGCAATTATGTAGTCAAAACTGTAAATTGCTTTTAAGACAGACATGTCGTTGTTTTCACTTCACTATACACATGATGACCATATAAATCATATATTCTCTGACCTCTCATAACCTTTAAAATTGTAATGGTTGTAACTTATTTAGAAATTAGAGTAGCAGTGATGCATGTTATGACTATACAGTACAACTAACTTCAAACTAATAATATGTACAATTCTAAAACGAGTATATCATCAAAATTATAGAATACCCGTACGACGGTCATAAACATACTCTCAGACATTTTGTTATTATTATTTAGCATTAGGCTTAATAACCTGCTTTAATTGATTTATGCAAGTGGTAACCCTAATCCTACAGTAAATAGTATTACGAGTGGATATATGAAGAGTTTCTGATCTGGAAACTGTTTACAGAGTACGTGTAATTCACCTTTTGTCGAAATATTTAATTAAAAAACTCAAGTTCTTAATATTTAAATCGTAGTCGTAAAGGCGTAGTTTTGCACAGCGGCAAAACGTTTTCACTCTTCAGTATTCTGATCCGAATAGTCACTTAGATAAATATTAAGACTTATTTCTGGTTCAATTCTAAGTTATATTCTACACAGTTACGTCCCACTGTCATCTATAGCTACATACCTGTAAATTCACTGCTAAATTAACAAAATATTCTCTCAATATCCGACTAACGTTAGTGTTTGGCCTACGTTATATAAATAAAGTCAACTGGTAACCAAGACCTTAAGGTCACAATTCAGTGCCATCTTTTATGTTTTACGTAAATAACAGAGCATTTTTAATATTCAAGAAAAATAACGTCATACATGAACTAAGTAACATAAAAATGTTTAAATGAAACAGCCTGTTTTTTTTAATAATTAGGTGTGTGTGTGTATATATATATATGTATGTGTATATATATATATATATAATATATAAATTCATGATGAGGAGTGTGAATTCTAACTTAATGATTGACTTTTAAGCGTTAATAAAAATTTTAGACTTTCTGAATTCCATAAACACCAACGTCCAATTCATTCTGGGTTAAACAGGAGTGTAGATTTTCTTGACACTATCTTAATGATCGATAATGACAATAATATATATAATCTACCTTGTTTATTAAACCAGTTACAAAACCTCTTTTTTTTTAAATTCAACTTCCATCATCTCAAAACTTCCAAGAAATGTACAATTATTGAAGAACTAAAAATAATCTAACGCAATTGAGTTAAAAAAAACCATACGCTCTGAACAAAAATCATTCCTTTTGAGTAAGGAATATCTGTCTTTTTACACTGAACAAATTTTTAAGGATTATAAAGTGCAAAAAATTAGCATTACACTTCCAACATGAAAAAACACATATAAAACAAGAGTTTAGAAGGGAATTTTTCCAAAGATAACACATAAAATATTACTTTTACGGTACCTCTAATCGACGGAACTATCTCCAAGAAAATATAAACTAATCAAGATATTTGAACTGCCCGGCCCTGTTCAATCCTCAAAAGCCAACTTTCAAAATTTCAGTACACTACCCTACAATATAAAAAAGCCAACTGTCTTAAAAAAAAAGTGTTTGCAGTCTAAGGATAGTTGCCATGTCTCCAATGTTGTTTACATGTAACATCTGTCATCATACATACATTGGAGAAACCAGAATAACCCTACATACAAGGATAGGAGAACATATTAATTCTCTTTATAAACAACAACAACATAAAAAAAACGTAGTTGCAAATCATTTTTAACTGATAATGGACAAATAACACCTGACATGAAACCACTATTCTCTGCAAAAGTCCTTACCAAAGCCACCATCTTAACTTTGTTATTTCAATCCATAACTTAGATAGAACTTTTGTTTACTACAGGTAGCAGTTTGTTATTTCAACAATAAGCTTTACTACTTAATATGTCAAACATACGCTATACATTCGAATATAATTTATTATTTTAATCAATTGAAACTTCATACTGTCAATTCCAGTTTGTGTTTTAGCGGAACACTCTTGAAGAAGCCGTAAAGCGAAGCGTTGAGTGCTCAATTAAAGAAAAATAACAGATTTGGTCTTATCAGGTCGTTTAATGCTAGTACTTGTTTTCCATAAGGTCTATATCACTACCATCATCTTTCATGGTGGCATTCTTTTGTCCATGGGATTAATATGTGGGTATAATAAATAGCTGAATCAATAACTTCAAGTATTTTCATATCTCGTGTGTATACTGGGACTCATCTAGCATAGTTAATGCGGTGGAAAACGAAAACCCATGATACCGATTTAAATAACGCAAGAAGTTGGCTTCTTTGAGTAATAACAAGTGGAAGAATCTCCAGCACCATCGTAAAGTGCCAATACTGAAGCTGGGGCTTTTGGTGCATTATGAATGGTTCATTATCTGTTATGTTTTGTGTACTCTGTATAAACTTACTGTAGCAAGATGTACAGACAGACTAGAGCCTGTTACTCGGTGAAAGTGTCTTTTCTTAGTGCAAGATGAAGCAATGTTAACTTTACCTAAAACAGACATCCTATCAGAATGTCTCAACCATTTTCTGAGTACCTACAGCACAACCATCTCAATATGCAAACGTCCAAAATCAAAAGAAATTTATAATCCTTATGTGTATTCGGACAGCTCCACTGAATATATATTTGCCTACGGCATAAATTTAGTTATTGATCAAAAGCATTAAGTGGCATCTTATCAAAATTAAATATTTTCACTTCATCATGTGTGGTGTGCAAGCATGCCATGTCCTCTACCAACTGTAGTGATATAATTCGTTTTCTAATTATTTATTATTTAGTTTCAGTGCTGTCATGGCCGCAACACGTGGTCCAAGGTGTCTAATATTATCTTATTCTAACTACTTCGACTCTTTACTATTTTGTTAGATGATGTTTTCTCCCTGCAAAGATATTTTAGCATGCATATTGAACCTGGGTTAGAACTAGTTAGAACTGGGATATCCTATGCTGGCTGAAGTATGACGTCAAATGAATATGATAGCTGACCATTGGTGTCAGGAAGCAAAGGTTATGAGATGACACTATCCATTGGACAAAGAAAGTAAGTTGATATTTGGAATTCAGGCCCTAATTTGTTTCAGATCGCTCCCTATTTTTGCAGACAGGACTTTTTAGAGTTCTTTCAGCGTTTATGTTTAGTGTTGAGGGGATCTATCTTGCGAGGAGGAAGACTTATAGATTAAGAGTTGCACAACTTGGAATGAGGATTGTCTGTTGTCACACGTGGGTACACGTTCTGAGTTTTATTTTATTATGTCTTGTAAATAAATAATTTTATTTGTTTTAACAAACGTTTGTTCAGACAGTTCACATTTAACAATACACACATCAAAGGCCACCAGGGATGTTTCGCAGAACTGAATTACATAAAAGATGTTCATGGCCACATTCCCACATTAATGTAGAGTGATGGTGTAAACATTACACTTCTTATGTGGCTGAGAAAAAGGATTGTCTTTGTCAGGAAAAACTCCATCAGCTAGTGGTAGGACCTCCATTGCAAAGAATAACCATGGATGTTGTCAAGCTCCTCCCCTAAACTGAATATGCTAATCATTAACTCCTGGTGGTAATCACTAAGTGGGCCAAAGCATTATTCTCATTCTGATGTCTTGGATGAGTGGGCCATCCAAACTGTGAAGTATATGCTCTCTATGTTTATGAGATCAAACTAAACTAACAGAGATGATCATCTACAGCATTTGAAAATAATGCCATACCACGCAACACAACAAGAACCTTGAGCTGTTCTCCAAACATATTGATATTTGTAAGATAATTATATCAACTCTAATCAAAGAAAGTTACTTCCATAGATCAGAATTAAAAACTAACCGAGTAATGAACATAGTGAAATCAATGCACTAGTCTTACTTATAATCATTCATGCTCCCAGTAGATTTTAAGTATGACTTTCCCCTCCTGTAGAATTGCCGAGGTGTTCTATAGGAAGGTAGAGTGGTTATGATCGACGTTAGTTGATGTCTACGAGCTCCTGCTGTAGACTAACTGGAGTGTCTGCAAGGATGTGGAGTGATTTATAATCCACATTTCTTGGTACCAACGAGCTTGCACACAACAGATGAAAGAAGGCAGCTAAGAGACAGAAGATGATGCTTGATAAGATGGCGAGAAAACATCAGTTCGAGTGACGAAACTGGATATGACTTTGGTATAGAATGCAGAACTAGTTAGATTTAACATTATGTTGCAATCACTCAGTATGATAAATTATGAAATTAAGAAATCATGTATCATGCTCGTGTAAAATACATTGATAAATTGAAATTGTATGTCAATGATGAGATTATGAACTATTCGTTTGACCTGGAAGACCAGAAAGCAGAGAGTGAATAGGTTAAAGCTAAAGATATTAATGAGGGTACATCGAATATTATTCATATCCAGTGGAGGATGAAGAAGAGAGTGACGTTTAAACTTTCCTGGCTGTATACGAAGAGTTAGAGGAAGAGAATTTACTGCGCAAATGACTAATGTCATCTGACACCTGATCATATCAATAATGTTGACCTCCAAGTTGCTACATCTGGATTTGAGGAACAAGTCTTTGCTCTTAGGATAGTTTGTGATCTTCATTCAATGTGGCTATGAGGATAACTGTTGAAAAGGAGTTGTACCTCTTACTTTATGAACTATCAGATAGAATTTCCTGGTAAAATAGCCCTAAAATATTTTCCTTTAACCACTCAATTACATGTGCTAAAAAGATTACATGATGATAGCTAAGAAACCTAGATCATCAGCAGCTGACACTGTTCGAAATAAAGTTATACATAGTGTGGTCACAAGTAAATGGACACCACCTTTTCAGAAAAAAATGAAATTTTTCAGTCATATTCACATAAATTGATATATTTATAATTTAATTAATATCTAGTAGATCTTCCTTTCGCTTCGTGGAGTTCGTTGATCCTTTGGGGCATCGTGAGAATCATCTCGTCAATTTTAGATTGTGGGATTTTCACCCAGTCTTGCTTCAAAACCTGGAGTAGATCGCTCTTCGAAGTTGGTTTTTTTTGTTGTTTCTTGACTTGCCGGTCGAGTATGACCCATACATTTTCGATGGGGTTCATGTCAAGAGATTGGCTCGGCCAGGGCAACTTCTGGATACCATTTTCTTCCTGCCACTTTTGGGTGTTTCTAATAGTGTGACACGGTGCTCCATCTTCCTGGAACAACATTGTGTTCTTGTCCACGAAACCCGAGGAATAAAGTGGCAAGAGTCCTTCCTCCAATATTTCGACGTATTTCGCAAAATATATGTTGCCAACGCAATCACTCCACTAAGCTAGATCTCCCACCAACCCAAACAGTTCTC